CACAGCCTGCCTCACAAGAACTGTATTCCGTAAGTGATAACCGTGAGAACAAACACCCAGTGGCATTAAACATAAGAAACCACCAAGAATGACAAAAACACTTTCTGAACCTGCAGTGAACACAAACATTATAATTTAAAATCTCGTCCACAGGCATTCGACAGTAATGTACTGTGTGCATAGAGGCTCAGACTGTGATGGCTGGAACATGCAGAGAATGATTTACGAGAACTAAAATTGCAGAGACGGAGGCAAACGGCAAATAACGGACACGAATGCGTGTCTGTAGTGAAGGAGGCCAATGTTGCTGCAAGGCTGTAGTGACAAGGAGTAAACAGGTAATATTGGTAATTCTACTTACTTCCTGCTGTGGCATTTATGGGCTGGATGGAAGGTAATCTTGTTCCACATCGATTGTCCTCTCCTCTCGAAATGTAGTCACAAAACACTAAGAATTCACTGTGATAAATCGAAACACATCGTGTTCTTAAAACTCGCGATATTAACACTTGACCACATCACATGTGTACAGTGTGTGACGACAGCACAACACACGAACACACGCAAACACATCAACAGTAACACTGCGACCCATGCTTTTGCAACCTGCCTGCCGCTGAGGTAGCCTGCCCTTACATTTTAAGTGTCTCACTCAGTCCCAAAACGTGGGTTTGGTGCAGATCGTTGCAAATGTTTCGGGGGAACATACTGCCTCCATCTTCAGTAGTGTATTATGTTGGTTATTTAACGACGCTTTCAATATCGCATAAAGTACAGCGTCGAATAGTAGAATGACATACGAACGAGCAGTAGAAAAGACTCTAGAAGTGGCCATGGCTTAATTTAAGACACTATATCCTCTATGAGATCCGAAGATCCAATACCGAGCACACAAAAGCCAGTCGCTGATCCATATCCTCCCGTCCACGCCAGGCTTCCATAATGGTTTCTTCTCTTCCAATTCCCCAGTCCAAATTGTGTATGCATTTCTCAACTAATCCATGCATGCTACATGCTCACACTATTTTCCTCGGCACCCAGTTCTACACCTGCGTTCTTTCCTTAGTTTGACAGACCAAGTTCTACACCTGTCACTCACTCACTCATGGAGCTGAGACCTTCTTGAGAAGCCGCCAGTTGTGGAGCTGTTCAAGAACTCCCCAGCACTTTACGGAACCCGAAGGTTCATTACCGTGTTCACAAGAGCCCTCCACTGGTCCCTATCCTGAGCCAGATCTACCCAATCCATACCATCCCATTCTATCTCCCTCAAATCCATTTTAATATTGTCCACCCATCTACGCATTGGTCTTCCCAGTGGTCTCCTTCATTCTGGCTTTCCCACCAATACCTTATATGAATTCCTCTTCTCCCCCATTCGTGCTACATACTCTGTCCACCTCATCCTCCTTGACTTGATCATTCTAATTATACTTGGAGAATAGTACAAGTTATGAAGCTCCTCATTATGCAGTTTTCTCCAACCTCCTGTCACTTCATCTCTCTTCGGTCCAAATATTCTCAACACCCTGTTCTCAAACACCCTCAGTCTATGTTCCTCCCTTAATGTCAGAGACCAAGTTTCACACCCATACAGAACCACAGGCAAAATTATAGTTTTGTATATTCTGATTTTTGTGTTTTTGGACAGCAGAGAAGAAGACAAAAGGTTCTGGACTGAATGGTAGCAAGCATTGCCTGAGTTCAATCGCCTCTTAATTTCCTCCTGAATCAGGTTTCCTTCTGTTATCGTTGTTCCCAAATATCTGAACTGTACCACATTTTCAAAACATCTGTTTCCTATCTTTATGTCATGATTTTGCCCTGCATTTTGGTGACGAGACAGAAACATATACTTAGTTTTCTCTGTGTTTACTTCTAGACCAACCTCTTTACTTGCATCAAATAAAGTTTGAATTGTACACCAATACAAAGTAAAAGACGACATTATCTTAATCTTCACAACTTTAGACAGCGAACGGTGAGACAAGGGTTCTGAACTGAACAGAAACAAACACATCCAAACTGAACCATATGGTAGTCCATTAAGAAATTATGACTAAATTAAATTTGGGGGTTGCTTGCTTCCTATCAGCTCTCTGGTATATGGATTATAAGTTGCAATATCACTGATCAGGATATTTGAATATCCTCTTAAAGGATAATTTATGGCTTTCCTAAGTTTACAACTGACTCCTTCAGAACGCCTACATTATCACCATTTATTCTCAACGAAGCTATGTAACATCTGTAATTGGTACATCGTTGTTAAGAACATCATGAATCAATCAACAAAATACGAGAGCACAACTTTGGAAATATTCTTAGATTTTACAACCTACGTCCCTAAGATCCAGCCTAATGATTGTCTGTATTAAATAATATTTTGGTAAAACTCTTTTCATGGGTAATGTTCACTGCACGGTTTGTATATTATGCTGATATCGCTTCACACCAATTTTATTGCTAACGCTTGGGTATATCGAAAACAAAATTTGAGAAAACTGCCGTGAAATTTAAGCTACAAATGATGTTCGTTGTTACATTATATACAAAATTATATGAACTAAACAACATGTTATCATAAAAATAAAAAATTAAACTGAAGGCATGGTGGCGACAAAAATTTGGCCATGTTAACCTCTATAAACTGACAAATTGGGAAGCAATACCTTCTGTCCAACAGCAATCTAGTCTGTGCTAAGTTTACGAAAATCTATTTTTTTTTATTGCTAGTGGGATGGCACTAAGTCCCTTGTACTGCGGCCACTTCTGGCCTACTGTACCAGCCCCAGATGATTAGGTGAGGGTGGTTGTGGAGCAATTGGTAGCATGAAGATTGGCAGGGGAAACCGAAGTACTCGGAGAAAACCTGCCCCAGCGCCACTTTGTGCACCACAAATCCCACCTAACCAGACCCGGGATCGAACCCGGGCCGCCGCGGTGGGAAGCCAGCGACTAACCGCTTTAGTTATGGAGCGGCCACTTACGAAAATCTTGGTTAGTAAACAATTTTACTATATAAATATAAAGTTATAAATACTAACAAATGCTCTTAGCGACTTACTGTACAACCTCTTTTCAGCAGACAAGAATGCTTTCATTGTAAACACGGTATTAACACAAACGAATAGAAACGAACCATTCCTGCTCGAGTTTAAGCGGCAAAAGAAAGTTAATAAGTCATACTTCTACCGAAAGATGTCACTATAAATCAGGTTGCTTGAAACAAATGAAGAGATAGACGCGGACGTTAGTCCCATGTCTCCCCCTCCCATGCCCAAGCAATACATGCATGCAAACAGTAAATGCTGACTTTTCATATTTATTTACAGCTAATAATATACAAGACTTGAAATAATGGAACAGGGTCTACACATATTTTTCAGCTACGTTCTTTGCTTGGCTCTGAGCATCATTTACATAGTAAATTACGCTAAAGATATCACACAGTCCAAAACAAACATTGCTTTGCGTCACTTTCCCTAAACAAAGGCCCCACATTCCTGTGTTTAATTAAGCACAGCTACATGAAGACGTATGGGGAAGTGAAGGTAGGTCTAAAGCTCTCTGCAATGTTTGCAACTATCCAGTAGGAACCAGAAACTATCTCTCGTGGTAAAGTGTCCACACCATGTAGATGGTTACTTATCTCCATCTCGTGCCGAGGCTAGGAACACATCTTCATGGCGTAATGCTTACGCACATGGGCAATTTACGATGCGACTAGTAATTCTGCCTTGCTTGAGGATGTCTGTTTCTTTAGACAAATGTAGCCATGCCCGTGGGGCAAATGTGGGACGTAATCGGCTACGTCTCCGAGGTCTCAGTCGTTAACTTTGCCCTACTCCCTAATCAGCTTCATGACGTAACCTCGCAACGTAGGTTAAAGTGGACAGGGGATAACTTTACGCAGCATTGTTAGGGTGGGAATATCAAGGAGGGCGAAATGAGCTGTGCATGTAGCTCGCACGAGGGAGATGAGGCATGCGCGCAGGATTCTAGTACAAAAACCAAAAGAGCCCTCCTAAGAATCCAGGCACGATTGGTTACAGACGACTTCTTCAGTTTCGCCGTTTTAGTTCTCACTTTAGAGCGATTGGTTACAGGCGACTTCTTAATTTACTATTTTAGTTCTTACAAACTCAATGGCGCGCGATTAGTTGCAGGCGATTTCTTAATTTTTGTCGTTTTATTTCTCACCGTAACGCGATTATTTACAAGCGACTTCTTTTCTTGCAGTTTTAGTCCCGGCTTTTACACGATTACGCGATTAGTTACAGGGTTCTTCTTAATATTAGTCTTTCCAGTTCTCACTTCAACGTTCTTATGCAGTCAGCTGCAATACAACCAAACCAATCAGGAATTTAAAATTGCAATTGTAGCACAAATGGGGGAGATGAAGAATGTGTATAGGATATTGGTGGGAAAGCCAGAAGGAAAGAGACCACTGGGAAGACCAAGGCGTAGGTGGGTGGACTGATCTGGCTCAGGATGGGGACCAGTGGAGGCCTCTTGTGAACACAGTAATGAACCTTCGGGTTCCATAAAATGCTGGGAAATTCTTGAGTAACTGCAGAATTGGCAGCTCCTCAAGAAGGGCTCAGCTCCATTAGCAAGTAAGTTATATCAAGTCGTTTCCATAGAAACGAGATCCAAAAGTAATTTCAGTCGGTAACAACAGGGCCAACCTGACAAGCAAATTTAGCTGGAGACTTGCTGTTAGATACGGGAAGACACATGTATTCAGCAAGAAACTAAACCAGTGGAACCTCATCATAAAGGGATATGGACTAAAAAAAATATGGACAAAATGAGAACTTTTTGGATATTCGGAACACTAACGGGGTCCTTAACTTACTCACCCTAAGTCAAACCCAGTATATTGATGTTTGACTGGAAAAATGTTGGTATCCACCTGCAATACTCCACGATGCTACAACGCAGAAAACCACACAATCTAAAAACAAACCTCCTACGACCACAGTAAAAGAACAACAGACAGTGCATTACTTGTAATATTTATTGCATATCAACATCTTATGACTAAATATCCAGGTCCTGAAGGCTGTCTTCACTCACTCCATTTGTACATAAAACAAACTATCTGACGTGCATTAGCTCCGCTGCTTCCTTCAAGGTCTCGGCGGCTTCTATCAGCCCCAGACCCTCCAGCGTGTATGAGAGGTTCTCTGGGCTAGCATCATCATCATCCTCTGCCCATATCTGCAGCATGTTCAGTGCCTGCTCAACTTCAGTCTTCAGTTCATTTTCAAAGAACTCAACCTAAAATTAAAAATTAGTACACAACACACAACGCATAGGAAACATCCGACCATAAGCCTATACAACCTCAAGCTGACATCTCCCATCATCGGGATGAATTAACAAGGAGGAGCCTAACATTTTACTTCAAATGTTTTAAACTTTTAATATTTTAACATTGACGGTTTAATTTGAGGGCAATTTCGGATGGAATGCGAGAGTTGAACGTGCATTCAAGTGTTGTGCTTTTACACATCGACATTTGTAGCAGCGTCCACGCAGCATATATACTGTGTACATTTAAACAACGCCAGTGTTTTCATGTGTTTGTAATATGTGCCTCTGATGATGGTTTTATTAAACCGAAACATGTAAGGCAAATGTGATAAAGAAGTGACCTAAAAAAACATTGTTACACTCAATGGACTTTCTATTGACTTTAAAATTTCAGTTATGATTACACAGTAGAATAGTTGATTGTGGCACTGTGCTACAAGCCAGAAGGTTGCAGGCTCAATTCCCAATGAGGTCATTGGACTTTTCAATTGATCTAATCCTTCCAGTCATGCTATAACCCTGGGGTCAATTCAACCTCTAAAAAAATTAGTTCCAGAAATCTTCCTGGGGGGCGGCCAGCCGGCACATAAGACTGACAATCTCACCGCCATCTGTGAACTGACTGTCTAGAAAAATGTGGGAGCCTAGACATCTCACAACCCTATGGGCCTCCATGGCCTGTTACAACGATAGCTAATTTAAAATTAAGCGGTGTGAAATCATTGACATTTCTTAGAGTTCGATGCTGTAAAGTCAAAAGACAATGTGGGGGCAGTTACAAACTCTCCAACCCATACTCAAGTATCTGAGTGCAAAGGTTCAACACTGACATGATCCTCAGCCAGTACCATCCACCTCCCATCCTCACAGCCTATTTTCTTAAGATCCATCCAGCCAGAGAGGCAATCAATTACCTCTCTTGTACCTGAACAACGTTCAACAAAGTTAATATGAAAAACTGCCACTGGACATGATTCTGAGCCAGTTCCATCCACCTCCCATCCTCACAGCCCATTTCCCTAAGATCCATCTTACTAATTAACTAACTCTCTGGCAGCAGAACCCGAAGGTTCAACACCGCTAATACCAAAGCCCACCCCTGGACATGATCCTGAGCCAGTTCCATCCACTTCTCATCCCCACAGCCTATTTCCCTAAAATACATCAGATATAGCATTATCTTCTTGAAGATATTGCTTATAGATTTCGATTTAGGGACATCATCTCCATGAACTACTGAAATTTAATCAAATTTGTAGGATGCTTTTTTTTTTTAAGAAAATGGCCATTTTGTGGTTTTGGACCTATCTCAAGAGCCCCTGGTATTGGAGCTAGAATGTTTACATGTGCTAGACACAGACCTAGGATGGATAGACTCTTGAGCACAGAACATGAATACTATGCCTTTGAAAGTTCAAGTGCCAGCCAGATGCACACACATTCATAGATACATGCAAACAGAAAGAAGCAGATGGTATTCCAGAAACCACTTTTTCATATTCATGAGTGCTGATAACAAGTAAACCCATCAAAATCTGGAAATTAATATTTTTTAGCATCACAACACTCTCTGTACACTGTGTATATGAGAGAGTAAAGAACATAATAACCACGACATGCAGCCTTTACCTCATCCGCTTGGTAGCCCAGTTTAGTTGCAAGTTTCTTCCAATGAGGAGCCACCTTAAATGCAATGGCCTCCAGATGCTCTTTCAGTAGGACACTTTTCTTGCTGTCCCGCTTCTCTGCTCCCATCCTCTCATCCTCGTACTCTTGCGGCATTGTCCGCTCTTCCTTCTCCTCAGATTTCAGCAGCTCATCATCTTCAGCTTCAGTGTCGGGGACCATCGTCTGAACATCGTTGTCCATCAGCTCGGCTTTTGCATCTTCGCTGCTCAGCATTGACTAAAGCAATGTTTATGGTAAATTGATCAGTTCTCACATCATTCAACTCTGCTGTTAAAACCAATGAGGAGGTTACATATCACTGAATAACATCATAAAATGATCACAGATGGTCAATTTCTATTCATTTACTACCATGAAGCCTTTTGAAGGAAATTGAAAAGCATAATCATCATAAAAATATAACTAATCTCAACAGCTTTATAGCTTCTGGATTAAATAAAAATGTAAATCTATCCCTGTAACAGGCCGTGGAGGCCCATATGCCATGAGACATTAAGGCTCCAACAATTTCTACACAATCGGCTCACAGATTGCGGTGAGGCTGTCAGCCTTACTCGCTGGCTGCCCTTTACCCCCAGGAATATTCCTGGTGCTAATTTCTGTTACAGGCTGAGTCGACCCCAGGGCCACAGTGCGGCTGGAAGGATTAGGTCAATTGAGAACTCACATTACCTAATTGGGAATCAAACTTGTGACCTTCCAGCTTGTAGCATAGTGCCTGAACCAACTACGATACTGTGTGCCCTACGAGTTCTGGAGAGGCAGCTATATTTACACAAAAGATACTAAACACAATACAAAAATAATATGGACTATATGGTGTTACTGCCTAGAGAAAATGTTTTCAGCAAATTGAGTATTAAAAGAAACTCTTTCCAAAATACTTAATAACTCTTCCTTCTTCATCTGCCTCTTTTCAATATGGATTTTTGGAAACAATTAAAATTCAAAGAAGAAGAAAATGTACCAAATGAAATTAATTTTACATGCAGTGACTTTTACGTGTGAATACAGAAACCCACACCTGTAATGATATAAATAAAGAATAGTTTGAAGTGACTTAAATTTTAAGACTATAAGCAAATATCCTGGCAGCATCCATGAACAGGCCTGTATAAATAATATTACAAAACTGAAATGTAAATTGCAATAATTTCTTTAAAATACAATCACATTATAGAAACTTGACACTTACAGGCCTATCCTTTGCAATCTTCTTGATCATTGTTTCAAGATATTCAGGCAGTTTGTTGATTGGATTGTTGCTGTGTGTGAAGAAATGTGGACTCCTACGTGCCATTAGTCTCAGGGCTCTCCAACCAAAGTTACCGTCATTAACTCGCCTATGAAAAGCCAAATTATGACATCACTAGAGGCATACTCACAACTCAGTCAAAATATTATTAACATCCAAGATTCAAAAACGTAACATACAGGTTTCAGTAAGGAGCCAGGATAGCTTAGTTGGTATAGCAGCTGGTTATGGACTGTTTAACTGAGGTGCTGGAGTTCAGGTCCCGATAGGGTCAAGAATTTTCTCTTCTGCGCATGGTCCAGACTGGCTCTGGGGCCCACCCAACTTTCTATCCAAGGGCACAGGGGCTCTTCCCCAGGGATAAAGCGGCAGGGGCATGATGCTGACCACTCACCTCCAACTAGTACTGAGGTCAAGAAAATGTGGATCTATATATCCACTCCCCCATACACCTTCATGGCATAGTGCTTAATTAGTTAAGCATATGGACAACTTTACCTTTACATGTTTCAGTAAGCTCCTCGATGGAAACATATTTCATCAAAGTGACCATAACAGATGACAGAGAGACTAGTAATGGTTTACCTGCCTACCACGGAATTTGTACCACCTGCAAGTAGCATACACAGCACTCTAATGGCACAATGTGTTACCATAACCTCAGGGAACACCACATTGAGAGAAATTCAATATAAATCATGACAATGCATACGCATTTGCACAGAGGATATTGGTGGTAAAGTCAGAAGGAAAAAGACCACTAGGAAAACGAAAACATATGTAGGTGGATAATATTAAAATGGATCTTAGAAAGATAGGATGGGGTGGTATGGACTGAACTCATCTGGCTCAGGATAGGGACTGTTGGAGGGCTCTTGTGAAGATGGTAGTGAACCTTTGGATTCCATAAAACACTAAGAACTCTTCTCAAGAAGGGCTCAGCTCCATGAAGTTAGTTAATGTGTAGCGATCAGTAGCCATCACGACAAGGAACGTAACAGATCCCACATCAGAGGACGCCGAAGAACGACAAGACCTTCAAAAAGTGAAAGGGCAGTCAATGTGACGAGTGAAGTTTATTTTTCACGAACTTTCTAAACAAGTGATAATAACGTAACTGGCTACAGGGAACTGAATTTTGAATTTTAAATCTTAATTTTTGACATTGGTATTTTTAACTTGTATTTTATAAGAAGAGCTTTTTAACTTATATATTTTTAACTTATATGGTATAAGAAGAACTTATACATATTATTTGAGCGTGAATCTGAACAGGATACAGGATGGAAATTAGTGGAGAAAGGAAGTGATTGCGTGTGATTGTGAAATTGTGTTCGTACACCTGATGATGACCTCCTGAGGTCGAAACATGTAGTGTGGCAGTAAATAAAAAACGTGTTGTGTGGTCGGTAGATTAACTTTAACATTCGTCTAGTACACAACAGGATGCAAGGAACAATAAAAGTTATTAGTTAATGTGTACTTATTTAAGAAGAGAAATATGGAAGAAGAACTGTAGGATAAAGACACCAACTGATAGCTAAACTTTGTGTGAAACATCTCTGATGTCAGAAAGTTATATATGTCATTACAGCACAATTAAAAAATTACTAGATTTTCAACGTATGCCAAGAATCAAAACTGTCATACGAGATCTCTGTAAACACACAAGATTCTTCTTCTGTATGACTGCTTACTCAAGGTATGATATTTTCTAAATGATGTTTCCGATATACAATGGCTCTAAAGGCAGCTTAAATCAGTTTAAGTATATTAGCAATCAAGAGCTGGAGTGCATGATAGCCCATCAACTGCAGTTTCCAGGAAACTGGGTTTGAAGTTACGGAATCAACTGCAGTTTTAATGTGACTTAGAACAGAACACATTCTGAAATCTCACACTGGCAAGTAAGAAAAACCTATGAGAGCACACAAAGATAGTGGAACACAATATGGAGATTTTAAAATGTGCATCATCAAAAGTTTCACCCATAAGTGGAGATGGAACACTCCAATGTTTTACCTTTCATCAACTATCTGTAAAAAAGGAAATCCGTCAGATCACAGTCTTCTGGGACGTGATGCCATGCAGTCTGGTTCACATATACCAACATTTTGGAGATATCTGCTGTCTCCACCTTCAGGTACCACATCCCAGAAGACGGTGATGTCCGCAGTCATCACCACAAGAGCCTCGAACCTCACAGAATACTTTATCTCCTGAATGTTAGCCACACATCCAAAAACTATGTGATCTTGAAATGAAGAAAATATTTTATGCATCATGTCTGACTTTTCAACATTATTTCCGACTTCTCTCATTACAAGTTCGGTGTGTATCTTAACGAACGCTTGTCTTATCATCACTGAACAATTCAGCACCTTCACTCCTTCACTATTACCAGTACTGATCAGTGAGGGTGCCCTATGGACCTTTGCAGGATTTACACACTCCAGTAACTTTCTTTTTTCCTTTAAGAACCTCTTATAAGCCAAACCTTGATTCTGAATGCATAAATTTTGGCACAAAAATAGTATGGCTTACATCTGGACAAATACGGAACATTTAATTTTCCAAACATACTTGTATTCCTCTTCCACCATGGCAGCTGGGTCAATCTGCTCGATTGCTTCTTCGAAGTATCCTTCTAGAGACGGTAAGAAGTCTCTGTCCTTCGACTTGCATGCCTCGAGATTGTTCGGACAAAGGTTCCAGAGTTTCGTGAGTTCTGCGCTGTTAGGACAATCAAATTACTGCACTTCCTACACCTTCAGCATTATGAAACAAAAGATCTGAACACTTTCTGAATGTAAGTCAACATCTAATTAACTTTTTACAGTAAAATCCATGACAAAGCGGACAATCTTGTCACCATATGACGAATACTGTCTTATTAATCACAGAAAACTACTTCAACTTCTGGTTATCTGCATTAACTGAGGGGATAAGTGGTGTGGGTTATTAAACAGAATGGATAATCCACTGATATAAGTTTCGAGACTCATTTTTAGTTTTGTGCTGGGCAATCTGGCAATGCTGTTCGTTCATTCATTACTGGAGGGGGTGGGTTTCCCCATGCACCGCGACCAGTTGTTGATCTATTGTACGTCCCCCTTTGATATTCTACCAGTCGCCATACCCTTCCGGTACTGGTGCTTGCTATCAGCCCCATTCAGCCAGCGAGTTCGGCCCCTCTACTGGCAGTGGTACCCAATACTTCCCCATCTACCGGAGGCATTGGAAACTACTTGGGCAGGAAACTTTTTACCTAATTTTGCTCAGAGGTCTCCTAGAGACATGAAGATCTTTTACGTGCCGTAAATCTATGACACGGGACCCATGGCTTAAAGTCCCTCCCGGAGGACTTGTTCCCTGAATTTTTCCGCCCTTAAAAATTCCATGACCTCCGTCGGGTTTGAACCCGCATACCTTGAGTCATGAGGTGGGAACGTTACCCCTAGACTACGGAGGCCACTTAGCAATGCTGTTACTTGGAAGGTTAGGTCATGCAACCAGACAGAGCTCACATGGAAAGTCTGGATAAGCTATGTTCAGTATTCATTGAACAGTATCTCATTAGATCACTGTGTGCTGTCAACTTTGTCCAGACGTGAAAATGGAGCATACAATGGAACAGAGAGTGAATGTGAATTTTTTAGTTAAACTGCAGAAATCGTCAAGTGAAACATTAGGGATGTTAAGAACAATTTATGGTGAATCCCCAGGCCAAAGAAGCCACAGATGTCAAAGTCCAAGATACAAGAATGTTGATCTCCTTTTCAACATCACGGGTATCATTCACTTTGAATTTGTACCCAAATGGGCCATTGTTAATCAGACATTCTATGTGGAGGTGTTGAAATGGCTTATTGATGCTGTGAGGTGCACGTGAGGAGAGCTGAAGAGAGATTGCACACTGATTTTTCACCATAACAACACACTGGAACATTCTCCACTTCAGAGTGTCATAGTTTTTAGCAGGAAAAGGCATCTCTGCCACGGATCATCTGTCATACTCTCCTGGCCTGACTCCAGCTGACTTCTGGCTGTTTCCAAAATTCAAGAGCATGCTGAAAGTAAAGCGTTTCTCGGATGTTGCGGACACTAAATCATCTGCAAAAAAAATTTTACAGACATTCCTGTCCAGGATATTAAAAACTATTTTGAACAATGGCTGAAGCACTGGGAATATTGTAAAGGATTGGAGGGAGATTACTTTGAAAAATTCTAGGTTGCTAATAACTGCAGCTCTTAAAATAATTTTTTAAAAAAATAGTCCCGAAACTTATTTACCCGATCTTGCATCCTCTCTTTGAGTGGGATTCAACATTCAAAATAATTCATTTATAGAGAAGCAGAGTCTTCAGAGTTGTAAAAACACATACTTTGGTGAAAGCCCTGCATTTTGGAGGAACATTTCACCTTCATCTTCAGGACTGAAAAATAGGCCAAGAAAGAAACCAGTGGAAACAGGCTACAAGCTGAATTTTGGTGCTTTCTTGCTTAGCTTACTCTTCCATTCCAAATATGGATGCAATATGTTCCTCTGAAATGTCAGGCTCTCTCAGAACTGCACAGCATTACGACCCAGATGGCCTGTACTCTTCATGATGGCTGCCGTGGGAACATCAAATCCAACACTTAACTATTAGTTACTGGTCATGCTACTATTAACTAAACAGTGAGACAAAAATCAAATGGAAGAAAGTACGCACTGCTCAGTAGAGGATAGTGAGAAAACCACTAATATTTCGCGGTTTTAGTCCACAAGCAAACTATACCAACCAAGCTACTTCCACTTGTCGGCGAAGTTAGTGTCAACTTTAGCTGATAGAGGGTGTCACATGGTCAGCGCAACAAATCCCCATGGCAGTTTTACTCACTTTCCCATTACAAACTTCCCGTGTTGCGTAATGTCCCTCATCTGTTCTCCAAGCCTCTTCTTAGGTCTGCGCGGACGAGGAAGGTATTTACGCTTGTCCCCTCCTTCTTCTCCTGTCTCGTCTGCTGCTAACAGATGGGCAGGTTTTTGGAACTCTGGACATCCATCATTCTTCCAGGAGTTCCAGTGCTCCTCCCGCTACAAGCAACAACAATCCAGCTGCGCATTATGCAAGTTATAGTACAGTGTCATGAACTTCCATTTCAGGTGGAAGAAACACACTTTTGTAACCCTCTCTCAAAATGAGAACTAAGAGAAATGCTATGGGAGTTGATGAACAAAGCGCTGATCTCTTCAGCTGCGACAGTTTTAATGCAAGTATCCTCAGCCTATCCAGTCAGTTTTTGGCCTGCAAAGAGTTAATAATATGAGTAGCAAACAATGAAAGTTGGCTGACCAGTTACCTTCAGGATGTGTTTCACAGTCTGAACAAATGCCACTCCATCAGGAGGTGTTTCTTCTAGGAGAGAGAACACCATTTCTGTCTTCTCTCGGACCCATTCGGCTTGGTCAGGCTTTAGTTCGTGTGTATCCCTGGAAAGAGGAAACATGTGAACATCGCCAAAACTGACATTTATATTCCATTTTATTGTCAGGTTATTTCAAACCATCACAGGACCACAGGTGTAACTAAATGACACAGTCAACGCACCCAGTAAACACACACAAAAGAGAACATCATGGCCAGACTTGACTGATTATAACAATGATATAAGATTGGCATAACTGTAATGCGCTTGACTTGTATTCAGGGTTTACTTGGTTCAATTCTCAGCTGGGACACCGATTATCCTGACTGAAGTTTCAGTGGTTTTCCTCAGTCCCTCAAGGCAACTGCCAGATCCTTGAAACAGGCCACAACCGTTCCCTTCCACATCCCCTCCAATCAACCATTAATTAATCATGCTACCATTTGACATTATACAGACTAGGCTACTGAGAGCACCACATACACGCATGCTCACACAATAGTAAATATGATTCAGAAGTTCGTGACAATGGTACATTAGTCTTCTGAATGCTGTAGCTGAATATTACTGTCTTGCTAAATTTGATACCATGCATTGTTCATTTGTTCTTTTCTTTACAGTATATTTCATGACACTGTTGGTATATGAAATTATATATGCTTCAGAGATTGTATGATAGTCAAAAATGAACAGGCAAAGATGTGGCAGGAAGTGGTCCTGGTCTAATTTAGGGTACAATCCAGGTATTTCCCTGGAGGTACTGAGGAATACCATGAAGAGCTTCAGTCGGGATAATTGGTGTCGTAGCTTAAATCTGAATCAGCCACATCCCGAATATACATGTCAGAGCCGGTTCGTTCAGTTATACAGAGGTAAACAGCTTCGTGATCTGGGCCTTTACACCCGGCAAAAGAATCCATGGCTCATCGCTTAAAAGACTAGTTGGGCTCCAGAGTCAGTCTGAATGCACTGGAAAAGAGAAAATCTCTGCCCCTGGCAGGAATCAGACCCTAGTTATCCAGCCCATAGCCCAATCACTATGGTGACCGAGCTAACACCAATAAATATATAATCAACTGCATGCCATGTCCAAAACATCTTTTAGGGTGTGTCATCATCAGACAGTGATGCAGATCATCATACTACCATCAGAATATTACTTGATTCTATTTTCAACATACAATGGGAACCAAAATTGCCATTTCGGAGATTCTGTTTAACATCCAGGGCTTTCGTTCTGTAGGGTTGTGCACCCAAGACATGAAGCTAATTCAGAGATGTTTTAGATATAATCTGTAACTACCCTTAGAGCACTCTCTATATGAGTTACAGCCTCCAAATGCAGTACAAGAACCTGCATCAACTCAACTGATTCAGTGATATGAAATAGCTTCATTACATATCAAAATGGGAGAGCCTGGACACCTCAGTTGGTACAGTGATGGAGCTACGGGCTGAACGACTGAGGAATTATGGTTCAATTCCCAGCAGGAGTAAGAGATCCTTCCCTTTCCCACAGCATCCTGACCAGCTCTGGGGCTCACCTAGGATCCTATGCAACAGGTCTCCCTGGTGATAAAGAACAGGAGGCTTGAACTTGACCACTCACCTCCATCTAGTGCCAAAGGTTAAGAATGTGTGGAGCTATACTTCCACTCCCCACCCACCTTCATGGCATGGTGCTTAATTACAAACAGGGAGAACTTTACATGCTAAAAGAAGTGTTAAGTTTCAGCTTACGATTTAAACTTGACAGGAGAATTCAGATATTGGAACACGATGAGGAATTGGAGAAGGACGTAGCGCCGGAAGTTGGCATCACTGAGCTGCAGTTCCAGCAGCTTCTGGTTCGTCAGGAACTTAGCAAAGTAGTGCTGCTGCTGCTGTTGCTGCTGTCTGTCTTCATCTGAAGTGTCCAGCTTCTGACGTTTTACTTGCATATCGTCCAGCTTAAAGCTCTTGAAAGCGAGCAAAACATTTGATGCATGCTGTAAAGGCAGAAACAGAAAGACGCATATACAGTGTTGCCTCATTATACAGTGGATTTGGCTGTATACCAGAACTCTGACCATGTAGCTCAGTATGGTTACACATGCTCCGTGTCATACAAGTATCTATGAAGCGTTTTAGTTACGGTATGGATGATCAAATCAAGGAGCATGAGGTGGGCAGGCATGTAGAACGAATGGGGGAGAAAAGCAATGCATATAGGATATTGGTGGGAAAGCCAGAAGGAAACAGTCCACTGGGAAAACCAAGGCATAGATGGGTGGACAATATTAAAATGGATCTTAGAGATACAGGATGGGATGGTATGGACTGGATTGATCTGGCTCAGGATAGGAACCAGTGGAGGGATCTTGTGAACACGGTAATGAACCTTCAGGTTCCATAAAATACTGGGAAATTCTCAAGCAGCTGCAGAATTGACAGCTCCTCAAGAAGGGCTCAGCTCCATAAGTAAGTAAGTAATAAGACCGTATTGTAATATCCCTTTCCTGTAGTGTGTAGGCACTATTTGGTTCAAACAGCAAAATTGAACAAGCAGCTTTTTTACTTATGCTGTTTCTAATACCAGTATTCTTTGTTCAAGTGACAGAGTTGGGAAAGTTTACCTAGTATAATACATTTTTTAAAATTGAGGGGCCTCCGTAGTCTAGGGATAACGTTCCCACCTCATGACTCAAGATATGTGCGTTCAAACCCGGCAGAGGTCGTGGAATTTTTAAGGGCAGAAAAATTCAGGGAACAAGTCCTCAGGGAGAGACTTTAAGCCGTGGGTCCCATGTCGTAGATTTATGGCACGTAAAAGATCCTCATGTCTCTAGGAGACCTCTGAGCAAAATTAGGCAAAGTTTCCCGCCCAAGTAGTTTCCAGTTCCTCTGGTAGATGGGGAAGTATCGGGGACCACTCCCAGAGAGGTGGCCGACCTCGCTGGCAGGATGGGGCTGATAGCGAGTACCAGTACTGAAGGGCATGGCGACTGGTAGAATATCAAAGGGGGACGCACAATAGACTACTAGTTGCGGTGCATGGGGAAACCCACCCCCTCCAAAAATAATAATAATAATAATAATTTTTTAAAATTCCACCACCAACATCCATGCGCTTCACACCTCGTGTGACAGTAGCATACAGCATAACAGCATATTCGGCCTGGTGAAGATGTGCAACATTCTTCATGACACTCCTATAATATCACTATCAAAAGTCACACCAGCCAACTGACGCTTCACACCAATTCACATGCATCTGGGAAGGACAGTACTGGGCGCCAAATCCGAACTACCGTGCAGTGAAATAGCTCCATGTCGGAAACCGTTCAGAATAGGACACACGTACATATACAACTTTTTGCTTAGAACGGCCAATACTCTGACCTCCCAGGATATTGACCTCTCCTCCTGGGACACCCTGTATAACAACAGGGACTCCAAAATTAGATGTCAACTTCACTTACAATGTAGGTAGCTTCTAACTTGTATACTGAAGCTGAGAAGCTGCTAAAGTCTCATGAGAATGGTGTGACTGCCTTTAGGTGAATTGCAGAATAGAACTGACTGTTATAACTCTAAAATTTGCTATCATCAACACTACCAATAGAGATCACTTACAGCTGAGAATGTCTTCCAATGAACTTTACTGTAGCACTGGTTGGGATTGCGAAAGAAGTCTTGAAGAGCCCAAAATTTGCAGTACAGATTGTAATCAATCTGTATCCTGTGAGGAGAACAGAATGCATTTCAGTGCAACAACCAATCAGGAACCACAAATTTAAAAATTTCATTCATTAACACATAGAAACTCCAGAACAATACTTCATAAAATACTACACTGAACCCACGGTACGAAATCCCATGGATGGACCCCCTCCAGTGTACTTCCCCATATTCCCCTCCAGTCATCCTGTCCTTTGGACCATAACAGGTAAAACTATCCCTGTGCTCAACTAATTATGCACTATACCATTAATGGCATATGGTGGAGTGGAGGTACAGATCCACATTTTCTAGACCTCGGCACTAGTTTGTGATGATGATTAGCTTCACACCCCGGGGATAGAGCCCCTGGTACCTATTTTCTTAACAGAAAATGTATCAAAACAAATTTTTATCTCTCCAAATGCCCCTGTAACCTTTATTTAACTCCTTTCAAGGACAAGACCATTAGAGCAACTTGGAATGCTTTGCATTAAAATTGCTAGAACCAAACAGATCTTCCCTGTGTTAATCACTTCTGTCTATAGATGGCATCAAATGTCATATATTGATGTATGGAAGGCATGACATGCGTTCACATCATCTAAGTCTGTAGTTGCCTGATGGTGAAACGGTATTTACCTGCAACCACCCCTGGAATTTCTGGCATGTAGTTGTGTGGTGCAGCTTGTCAATTAAAGTGTTAAAACACATTCTGATTATCCTAATTAGTTTTATGGGTATTTTATGGTGGATGAAGTCACACTGGAGCACGTGTTTCTCCAAGTTTCTTCAGTTTTCTCCTGCTGATCATTAATCAACCACTGCTCCACACTCAGCCATCATTGCCCCCTGATGTATGTGATAGCCCCGACCAGGCAGCGCATTAGCATATCCTCGGGCTTTAAGTTGGGGGCTTCATCTGCATCCCTGCACTTCGCTGGTCACAAAGTTAGGAACTCCGAAAAACCCAACATTGTATACTGTGCAATATTCTCATTAAATAAAAAGAAAAAATAGAATAAAATGGTCTATTCTAACTGGAACTGTATGCGTTAAGTAAGTCTCACTTTGTATCTGGCTTTGAATCCTCTTCCATTTGCTCGTCCTTCTCTGCCAGAATGTCCTTCAGGTCACTGGAAGTTTCACCACCAAATTCAGTGAGGTTGTCAAGATTGAACTCACTCACGATGTTCAGACCTAAGGCACAAGCAATAAATTAATTTTATGTTTTAAAGATGTTATTATTACTGTGATATATTTCATAAGTAAACTTAATAAATAACATCTGATGAACTGTACATTTTAAACTATTCAACACAATTCTCGTTTCCACCCTACATGACTCTGCAGTAGCGTAGTTGGTTGAGGCACTATGCTACAAGCCGGAAGGTTGTGGGCTCTATTCCCCAATGATGTCACTGGATTTTTCGATTGCCCTAATCCTTCCAGCCGCACTATGGCCCTGGGGTCAACTCAGCCTCTAACAGAAATGGGTACCAGGAATCTTCCTGGGAGTAAAGGGCGGCCAGCGCTTAAGACTGACCTTGCCACCATCTGTGAGGCAATTTTCTAGAAAATGTGGCAGCTTCAACATCTCACAAGCCTATGGGCCTTCACAGCCTGTTATAGGGATAGCTTTACCTTTTTTTTTTTTTAACATGTCTGCAGGATTCTGCCATCTTGAGGAGGGCTTTTAATCACGTTTAAAAGATATCCAAAATTTCACATTTTGTGTTTATACTATATTAAAATACAACTAAATCATGACTCTTAAAGGCAGTGTCAATCAAACAGTTCATTCTTTGTTTGGAATTACTTGAATTACTTGAGTATGAACATGACACAGCATTGTGAAAGAACACATTTCTGAAACTGGACCTGTTTCTGTCCTCACAAAGTTGGGGAAACACCTACTCAGTTGGACCCATGAGAAAGAGGCAACCTCATTCATTGGATTAGTAATACGGGGCCCAATACTGTAGGAATTTCTTCTAGTTATGCTTTAGAATGAAATTGAATGCATTTCTGAAACAATATGTTCTTTACATATGAAACTAAAATCACAGTAAAGTTGTCCTTATGTTTAATTAAGCACCATGCCATCAGGTTGTATGGTACAGTGGAGATATAGCTCCACATATTCTTAACTTCAGCTCTAGATGGAGCTGAGTGGAAACAATCCTCTGTACCCATGGAAAAGGAGACTGGATGGGCCCTAGAGACACTCTAGAGGTTGTTAAGAAGAGAAAATCTCTTGTCCCTACCATGATTCAAACTACAGTTTCTCAGTCACCCAGCCTGTAGCGTGGTTACTACATTGACTGACTTATCACAGCTCTTGTTCAAATATATTGCCTTTAATATTATCATGCCATCATCAGATGAATCAAACTTAGTTCACTAACCAGATCGTTCAGAGAACGGGAAAAACTTGGCAAGAAAAAGAAGAATCCGTCCACAGAAAACTGTATTCTGAGATCGAGACAATCTTCTTAGCAAATCTGGAACATCAAACACAAAAGTAAAATTTACATTTCAGTAAATATCTATGGAGAGTTCCATGTTACTAGTATACAATTAAAGTTTAACATATCTGAGAACTCAGAACCGGGCAGGAAGTGACATAACAAACAATTGTTCTTGGGTTACTTTAAAATTATAACATTTGCAAACCGTATTTAAAAAATATTAAGATTCCAGTTTTCTGTAATGTCATGTCATGTAGTTTGGTATAACCAATGTTTTAGAGGACCCTAGTGCCTCCATCTTCAAGGTATTAAAGTAAAACACATGAGAAAAAAAGTATACGTGACATACAGACAGAAAGACCAGGACTGTAGCCATGAATGAACCAATGAGAATCAGTGGCACTTAAAATAGCAGGTTTATCAACTGATAAAATAAGCATAAGAGGGGAAGTGACATGAAGAGAAGGAAGTGGGGGGAGGATTAAAATGTCATGGCCTCACATCCCAGAAGAAAATAACAGATCTCATAAATACTAATGGACAACATTTATTTAGTTTTCCTTCTGTCAGATATATTCAGTAGATAGCAACCTTAACCCATTTACTCTGATACATACTCTGTTAATTACTCTTACCATTACACATTCGCAGCAAGTTATTTTTGCAGGCACTGAAGAACATTTCCTCTTTCCATGTGTTGACTCCATTTTCAACAAATGCAAACAATGTTTCACAACGATCAAACGTCAGAGCATCGAAAATATCGCCCAGGAGAACAACCGGCATTGTAGGTGTGCACATGTCTTGTCGACAAGCCTCAATGCAAAACGTAACATATGTTTCCCATATTGATACATCCCCAGAAGGTTCCGCTAGAAGTTGGAGTAAATAATCTCTTAACACTTGATCCAATGCCGACCTTTTATCATTTTCACTGTAAAACAAGGCACAGTGGTAAATTAATCTGCTCCGATTTTGCCGTCCATTTTCTGTGTCGCAAAATAACAAAAGGAAGAAAGATTACTTACTTCACTTTAAATGTGTCATACTTCTTTCTCAGTATGTCTGTATTACTGCTTTCAAAACTATTCTTCACACTTTCCTGTTGGCAGAAATATTGAGAAAGGAAGAACAGAAAAAATGTAAGGTTATGGTTGACCAGTTATACACATACTATAACACTATATATGTTAAATTCATATACTTACAAGCAACTCTGATCTCATTACTTCAAATGAACACATCTCTCACTTCCTATATCAGTTACACAGAGAAAAATATATGTAAAACAGAAGAGATTCAAATTCTAACATAAATAAGTCAACGTTGGTACATCTGGTTCCTGGAATGTTTCGAACATCGCGATTACAGTAATACCAATTCCTTTTTAAATTTATAGACAATAATAGAGTTTAAGTTCCAAACTAGTCGTGTGTTAATTCCAACAAATGTAACTATCGTAATTATTTTACGTTTAAGCAGATCTTTATGCTATATTCCTAACCTTCCTAACAAGACTCCCACTTTCAATAGATGTAGCACCATAATACTACCAGTATTTCCCAACAGATGGCACATAATCATGTATGTCTGGAATGGAGGGCAATTTCTTTTTCCAAGTCTCACAAAATTATCCTTGCCAAAACTCATAGCAAGTTTCAGACATAACAATTCTGATTAATATGCTTCATAATGACACAATATTTTGCGACTGCTCTGCTCTTCATAAAATGTGTGTAAAATATTGAAATCGATAATAACACATTGATGTAACATGTAGCACAGTCAGCAGTTAGAATAATTTTCAACATAGTATATATATATATATATGAGGCAAATTGTCAGTACTCCAACAAGATTAATGAGATATATCTGCATTGCATTAACATTTAATAATATCCTAGTAAAGATTCTGGGCCAATAATTAAATTCATGGTTCAGGCGTTATGCAAGATATCCAGATCTGCAAATCAGCAAAAAAAAGAAATTGGTTTGGTCTCAAATTTTACACAAACAGCAAGTTATTTTTTAATCAACAGAGCACTTGTTTTCAAACAGATGACTGTACAATATAAGTTCAGCTATAACTGTAAAAGAAAAACTATTTTATTTCAATATCTATAATTTGCAAAATAAAACTGTCAGTATGTCACATGAAGCACATTGCACTCTCTTTCACATACGACAGGCAATAAAATCAGTGCCATTGTTTTAAGTTTAGTCAATTATACTGACTTCATGGAACTATAAACTGAAGGTTTCACACTGTTGGCACAGGTGTGCAACGCTATACACGTATATTACAAAACTTGTTCCATTTAAAAACATTTCAACATCACTGTATCAGATGATCTCAAACTTTGAAATAACAAATTTTTATGAATTGTATATTCTATTTAGTTCATCTTTCTTAATCTAACTCATTTTCCTTAGCTTTTTGCTTTCAGGTGCTGCTTGCAATGTAAACCCAAGGTCTACATTCAGACTGCAGAACAAATAATTCATCCTGTTTTTTTTAAACCTTTTCATTTAAAATTCACCTCACACGGTGACATAGATTCCATTAGTCATGGATTATGAATGAAATGAAGATAATTCTAACAATTCATGTCACTCATACAATGCAGAATAAAAATTGCTTTTTAAATAGATTAAGAGGTTTAGATTAACCATTTGGTCTTTGCAGTATAGATACTGTCTGTAAATAGCTTCTTTACCAAAGATTCAAAGACTGTACCTTATGTTGTAATTATTACTTTTACACTAGGTATATGCAATAAACAAATTTTCTATTTAATTCATATAAATTATATTAAAGTTCACTTACCTCATTAATTATTATAAATAAAACTAAATAGTGGTACAGACACACGTACGCTGGCATGGGGTGCAAGCTAGGCTACCCTGTATTTTTGGAAAAAATCAAATTAAAAACAAAACGAAACATGGATAAAAAAAAATAAAATTACATTTAGATGTGGCCCCATCTGTGTTTCATTACAGTCTCACAAATCTGAGGGAGTCCACAAAAATAGTCTTAAACAACATAAATGTACATTTGTAAGCAAATCTTCTGGCTGCCAACATTTAGAAAAGCCCCTGACACCATTCATGCACAGATATCGGCATCTGTTCCACAGCAGACAACCGTAATTCATTGCTGTGAATCACTTGATATTGAGCCTGTGGGAACATCCCACACACTATCACGCTGTTTCGCCAATCAATGGACAACACTCACTCCTGAGCCAATAGCACATTGCTGCACATCCCTGTCAGCCCTCATATCAACACACCGGGCAACTGGCACAGCTGCTGCCACTCCAGCGACCGCGCTCCACGACCAACCACCTACCAGCAACTGCTATCTCTGCGACCAGGCACAGCTCCAACCCAGCAATCATCGGTGACCACATCAGCCAGTCAGTCATCACACTTAGTCCAGAGTGATCGGTCTTCGGAGTCATCGGCTCTTCACTGCATCAGGGACAGCTGCCTCGGCTCTCCGGTGGACATGCCCAACACACCAGGCAACTGGTGCAGCTGCCGCCGCTCCAGCGACCGCGCTCCGTGACCAACCACCCACCAACAACCACACTCTGCGACCAGCAACTTCCGGCAACTGCCGCACTGCGACCAGACAACTAACTCAGCTGCCGCCACTCCAGCGACCGCACTCCGCGACCAGGTCATCTTCCCACAAGAGCAATATTACAGCAGCAGTAATGAAAGGAGTTCAGCATATGACTTCCAGCAAAATTTGCAGGCAAGGCAGAAATGTTGGAATATGCGTATAAGTCAGAAATTGGCATTATGAAGCTGATCAAACTTATTCAATATTTTTGATACCATACATGTACACTGTATCACAAAATCAGTCCAGTTATTCAAAGTCAGATCATGTAAACACAAATGTTGCATATTTATTACGAACAATAAAGAGATACTAACACTTATCAAAGTAATATTGCTTTCAGCCTTTTGGTAGGTCATCTTCAGTTTGATATTATTTCATAAAAAAATGCTACTATACAGAATACATAATTTTAATATCTTACACTGCATTCCTAAGTCTAAAGCTAAGCCTTTACATTTTATAATTATGCAGCCTGCTGGTATTTGTGAAGTTCCTGTTCTAATGTTGAATTGAATTTGAATTGAATTTATTTACATTCTATAAATCCTAAGTAGGTTAGTAAATGAAGGATCATCTAGGAGATCAGCAAGAAATCCCACAGAAATGAAATACAGTGTCAGTAACGTATGTAAGGAAATTAATGATAATCTAATTTATGATATAACCTATAATTCTCAAATTAGCAGACTAAATTATGTTATAAAATATCCTCACAGAAAAACAAGACATACATCAAATAGAAAAAAACAGTTCGCAACAAACAAAGTAGAATCATCTGAAAATTGTAAGTTAATAATTTTATGGCATCTTTTACTATAAAATTAATCAAAAAAATATTCACAGTAATTCTTGTACCGGGTTTGAATACCTTCCACACATTCCAAACAAGCTGAATACACCAGCAAAATTGATATGTCTTCTAAGATAAAATATAAAAAGGCTCAAGGATAATCTATCTACAGTATTATATATTGTTGACTTGTGTTTGTCTTGTCGTGCTAAGAATCTTTATTGACTTCTTCTGCATCTGTAGGCCTTTGGCCGGTTATGGATTTATGGAACAAATAAATATGAATGAATGAATGAATGAATGAACGAATGAACAGTGTTTTTGTGATCTATAGGTTTATATGGGACCCAAAAATTACCAAAATTCTTTCCATGATATATTACATAAGCCACATTCTACATAAATATAGTGACATACAGATTGGTCTAATATACTGTATTAAGAATAAAAATTCTCTGTTTGCAATTAAAAAATGCATTAATAATTTTGTACATATTTATATAATGTTTATAACAGTAAATTACATGTTTAACCGTTTTAAGCATTAAATTCATCTAAATAATATTTAAGGATTCAGTTCGTACCTCACAGGAAATGCTGCATCTCCATAAGAACAACCAACTGGTCAATTCTGAATAGGAAAATGATGACTGTTTATTGTGAGAATCATAGAAAATGCATATACATATAGTCATATGTGCAAAATGTAGTTTCTGGGTGTTAGAGCAGATGACACCTATAGTTTCAACTGCCATTTTACAAGGTTAATGGAAACATGTGTGAAGAAACGGTACATTGAAAAATGAACTACAACTTTACAGTGTTTAATGAAATTTCAGGGAGAATTTTTGGAAGAGACAAACAAAATTTTTCAGATTACTGCTTTTGAAGAAGTGACACTGTGTAATCTGATACATCACTGCCAATGTATTGGAGGAACCTGCTGCCTCCATCTTCAGGAGACAATAATCTCCACTGTCACTGGCATTAAAATCTCAAGTCTCACGCTAAATTAAAAAAAAAATATATATATATATACATTAAACTCTGGCAAGAGAACACATTTACATACTGTCTTTGTGTATCCAAATAAATTTCTTTATTGTTTGTTTCATTCATACAATGGCCTAAGAATTTTGCAACAACAATAAAATTCATTATTACAAAGTCCCATTAAGTAAAACTGAAGTAACTTGAAATTAGTTTCATATACCTAGCCCCCACTCTGCAACCAGTCAAGTGCCAGGACAGAAATGAAGCCCCATACTTCAAGAACGAGACTGTGATAATATGTTACCTGGTCAGGGCTACTGCACAAGTTGCAAGGCAGTGACAGTATGAGCAATGTTGGCATGATGATTACCAAGGGAAAACTGAAGAAACATTGTCCACCAAAAAACTAATATGAGGCCATCTAGGATTGAGTCCAAGGCTCCACGAGTGAAAGCAGGGTCTCACTTCCTGTCTCAAAGTGCAGCAATGGTTACCATAACCATGTTAAAGACATCAAAACCAAGCCAAAATAAAATATGAGTATTCTTACAGAGATTAAAATATTTATCAACAGATATATTTTTGACATTATTCTGCAGACATTTTGTATTGCTTCTCCATAATTTTGAGGGACTTCTAGAGGACTATCTTAAAACTTATGCATAATTTTCTCATACAAAAAACACACAGTTAACAGTATAAATGTTACAGTTTTCTTTTCTAAACTTCATCATTAACCATTAAAACATTGGATTATTTTCATGTACCTGCACTAACAAGCCAGGTTCTTGATAATGTTAAAGATAAAGTAATACTTAAACTCGTCCCTATACTTAATTAAGCACTACAACACAAGGACATAAGGGAGAAAGTATGTACAACTCCATGCATTCTTAACTAAGCACTAGATGGAGGTGAGTGGTCAGCTTCACAACCCATAGGCTTTACCCGCAAGAAAAGATCCCCTGATACCCACTGGGTAGGAGTCTGGGTATGTCCCAGAACTAGTCTGGACATGTAGGAAAGAAACCTCTTGACCTTGCCAAGAACCAAACCCTGATTCCTCCATCGTCCAGCCAGTAGTCTAGTTTCTATACTGACTGAGCTATCGCAGCTGCTTTCTGAATACATTCTGGAGGGGAGAGTACCTGCTCTGCATATAGAAATCTAGCGAACACCTTTATTTGATTTACTTCAAAATTAACAGGCAGACCAAATGACTTACCACTTTCCTCACATCAACAACAGTAGGGCTCCAAGGGCCACAAATAATATTTCAGATTATTAACTAGGCTACGGGCTGGGCTATTGAAGAATCGAGGTTTGATCCCTGGAACAAATAAGAGATTCACAGGGCCCAGACTAGTTCTGCAAACCACCCAGACTTTTAATCAATGAGTAACGGAGAGAGGCATCCTCCAAAGATAAAGGGGCCAACGTACTTAACCTCATCTGGTGCTGAGGTTAAGAAGTTGTGTGGAGCTATACCTCCATTCTCCAAAGCTCCTTCATGCCATGGCACTTATTTTCCTTGGTTTTAAAAAACGTAAAGCTATCCCTGTAACAGGCTGTGGAGGCCAATATGGTTGTGAGATGTCGAGACTCCCACATTTTCTAGACAGTCGGCTCACAGATTGCGGTGAGGTTGTCAGCCTTACGCGCCGGCCGCTCTTTGCTTAGGGGCTCAATGGACTCCAAGGCCACAGTGTGGCTTGAAGGATTATGTTAACTGAAAAATCCAATGACCTAATCGGGAATCGAACCCGTGACCTGCCAGCTTGTAGCACAGTGCCTCAACCAACTACGCCACTGCGTATTCATAACATTTGCACAGGGGATCTTTTAACATTTTGCACAGTTTTTACAGTTTTCTGTGTTTTAATATGAAAGTCATAGATAAATTGAATTAAGTGACAGAACCACAAAAGAGAGGAATGCAGGCCAAGGTCGACAGGCCTGATATTTGTGCATCCCTATATTTCTAATTTGAATCCTTCAATCTCAACATAATTCAGTGTTTGAACTTCTTTACTTGACTGAATAAATTGCAGCTGGAAACAAGTTTCTGACAAAAATAGACGCGTAGATCTTTCTTAGACCATGGTACACCATTTCTTGGCTGGATCTGCAAGATAACACTTCCATCTGGCAGCCTATGCAAGTCAGCAGGAATTCTCTGTTATCTTCTCAGCCCCATCTTTCACCTGGTTAAGGAAATGTACATCAGAATTCCTGGATTGATCTAATCACTTCATGTAATGTATGGAGGAATAAGGAGGAGGAGGTACAAGAAGGAAAAGGAAGAAGTAGAGGAGGAGGAGGAGGGAGGGAGGAGGAGGAGACGGAGGGGAGAACCCTTCATGAAATGTTGGAAAGACATGTAACATTCAGGTACAATGGGGTAAAATGACTTGAAATTGTCCATTACAAGAAATTTGGTTTTTAAAATTCGTTAATTCATATTCCTGCGGCTCCCTCTGAAGCAACATGCATCCGTGAAACGCTTTCGTTTAACTTCAGTTTCTTAGTCTTTAGACAGTCGGTAGGCCCCCTTCGACGGGGGATCGGCCCGTCGCAAGGCCGCTATCTGCACAGTACAACACAAACACAGAATAAACGTAGAAAATCGTCCATGCGTTGAGTGAGATTCGAATCCGCGACCCCAGTGTTCCAGCAGGCGAAGGCAATTCATGCCTTAGATCGCGCAGCCACTGTGAACGGCGATAAATACATAAACCTTCATAGAGCAAATGAAGATTGAAACAATTGACAGTTGAACACACTGCTCTGTCTCCTGAGAATGCAAACAGCTCAGAGCTGCATTACTGTCATCCTCTCGAAGCGTCGCAGAGAGACAACAGAAACTGTCAGTAGACAAGCTGTACAGATGTCCAACATGGACACGTTCCCTTGACTTTTGTCGGTCAAAGTCAAAGTCACATTACGTCCGACGGTCAGTCGCCCAGTCAGTCTTGGTGTCAAGCCCCAACTGAGGCCAAGACTAGATTTTTGTAACCGTTACACGGCCGCGGTATTGTCGATGTGGGGCGCCCTCTCTGAGGAGAGGACTGCTCTGTCATTTACCGCGGTTAGAGTCAGCAGTACATGTCATTTGCCGGTGTTCCCCCCAGTCAGTTGTCAAGGATCTGTTGTTTTTTCCCCTGCAGATTATTTACAGCTGCACACGTCCTTCCAGCACATATACATGTACAACATAATGTAAGGCCGGCCGCCTCTGTGGTCAAGTGGTCAGAGTTCTTGGCTACAGATTCAGAGGTCCCGCTATCAGATTTTCTGAGAAGTAGTGGGTCTGGAACAAGGTCCACTCAGCGTCGTGAGGATAGCTGAGGAGCTGTTTCAAGGAAATAGCGGCTCCGGTCTAGAAAACCGAAAGTAACGGCCGTGGGGACCTGTTGCGCTGACCACGCGACACCCTCTATCCGTAAAATTTGGCACTAACTTCCTAAATGTTGTGTTAAACTCCTTTACTCTGCAGCTACAAAATACCGACAACTTTCACATCCCTGGATGTCCCTTACCTCGGCGACATGTAGTACGACCCTTGTGGGGGCCCGTAGGGGTAGAAAGCCTGATGATGCGTTGCGGGAAAGCTAGTACCAGGGAACGGGCTCGTCGGTGGAGCTGCTGCCTGGTGATGGGCCGGATTGCCGATGCCTGCCCCTGCAGTAGGGGATGGGTGCAGATGATGATGGTGGTGAAGGAACTCACTCCCTGGTCCGGGTACGTACCCTCCTGCCGTTGGGGTGGCTGGGGATCTCAGGCCGAAACCTGCTGTTGTACTCGTAGGACCTCCAGTCAGCCCGGAACTTGCAGGAGCCGAGGAGGCGGCAGCGCCATAAACAAAGCCAGAGTTGCCAGCGGTGGCACGGGAGAAGCCCTGGTGGTGTCGGGACATTACGTGGCTCTCTGCGCCACCCGAGGAGTCGACCGCCCCGCCCGATACCAGCTGGTACTGTGGGTGCCCACTGTAATGAGAAGCAAGTGCCGTTGTTGCGCGGAAGTTCTCTTTAACATCTCCAGAAAGTCGATGGAACTCTTCCTCCTCGACAAATTGAAATGGAAACAGTTCAACCTCATAATCCGTGCCGTGGCTCCGGCAGTTAATCACCGTGTTCGAGCCTAGGTCAGGTCATGTGGAAAAGTGACACTGGGCCAGGTTTTCCTCCCCTATAAATTCTAATCCCACCAACTGCTCCATATTCATTAATGATCCTATTATCGACGCTTTGTCTCGATACTGACGGCGTTGTTAAGATGCAAACAAACAAACAAACAAACAAACAATCAAACCTACCCCGAGTCGTAAATTTTTTCAAGGCGCTCAGTAAATGCTATCAAGTGCCTGTTTTGGGGTGGGGGTTTGATTATGATATTACTATGATAGTCGAATGATTAGTTGTAAAGATGCGGTCGCAGTTTAATCGAGGTATTACCCTGGCATTCTCCTGGAGGTGCTAGGGAGAACCACGAGAAACTTATCTCTTCATCTAGTGTTTCAATTAATGTTCGAAAATGTACCTTCCGGACAGAAGTAATACTTTTATGGCTATGGGAGCCCACTTAGTCCAATCGATGCCAAATGCCGGAGCTTCGCCGGTTCTTTTTTTATTTCTCTGCGCATTTTTCCCTTTATTTCTAAGAGCGCTTGCAGCTCCCCCACCCCCAGATTTCCTATTAAAACCGCTTCATCCCTCTGTACGCATGCAATGACTGGAAATTTTACTGGTATGTTTAGATGTGTTCCTATATTAAAACTGAACAATAATGACGCAGAATTTACATGAAAGCCTACAACATGCATATCTGGGCGTACATCGAGCTTAACTCGTCAAAAATATTTATCAGGATGAGTGCAAGTTGTACAAAAAACTGAAATACACATTTCATAGGCCTACATCAAACACTTTTCTTTAAAGGTTGTTCATTTTCTGAGATAATTACATAGAAGTGGGCGAAAACCCACCAGAATTGTTATGCTACATAAAAGGCCAATATGGCCGCGCCATAGCTCAAGCGGTTAGTCGCTTGCTTCCCACCGCGGCGTCCCGGGTTCGATCCCGGGTCTGGTCATATGGGATTTGTGGTGGACAAAGTGGCGCTGGGGCAGGTTTTCTCCGAGTACTTCGTTTTCCCCTGCCAATCTTCATTCCACCAATTCCTCCACAATCACCCTCACCTATCATCTGGGGCTGGTACAATAGGCCAGAAGTGGCCGCAGTACAAGGGAACTAAGGGAACCCATACCTGCATATTCATCAATTAATAACACTCACACTCGAAGATTATCTGCATCTCGTACATATTTATGGTTCCCAGTATTTCAGTTCTTACTTGTCCGTGGTCTAAGTAGTTGAAAAGTATGTGTCCATGTTTTTGCTTTCAATGAACAGATTCGCCCGGTTTATATGACAACATCAGAAAGTATTAATCAAGAAATTAATGTGTACAGACAATATCAGAGATAATATCCCGCAACTGTTATATTGCGTATGAATCTCCCAACATTTTCAATTTCTCCTGTTCATCAGAAATTGACCACTGCTGTTTCTACGATAACATCTTTATGTCTGTCTGTCTGTCTGTCTGACTTTTGCCATAATTTCATACATGACACATAAATTTATCTAATTTTTTCAATTGTTTTCTCGTTACGGATTAAAATACACGCCTAGGGCGATCTACTTCATGTTCCATCCGGCGCCATTGTGGACAATAATAGAACGCGTGATGTCACTTCCGTTTATAAAATCTGAATTTAATCATACTTACTTATCGAGCTGAGCCCTTCTTGAGGAGCCGCCAATTCTGCAGCTACTCAAGAACTTCCCAGCATTTTATGGAACCCGAAGGTTCATTGCCGTGTTCACAAGAGCCCTCCACTGGTCCATATCCTGAGCCAGACCAATCCAATCCATACCACCCCATCCTATCTCTCTAAGATCTATTTTAATATTGTCCACCTAGCTACGCCTTGGTCTTCCCAGTCCTTCCGGTTTTCCCACCAATATTCTATATGCATTGCTCTTCTCCCCCATTCGTGCTACATGCCTTGCCCACCTCATCCTCCTTCACTTGATCATTCTAATTATACTTGGAGAAGAGTACAAGTTATGAAGCTCCTCATTATGCAGTTTTCTCCAACTTCCTGTCACTTCATCTCTCTTCGGTCCAAATATTACCCTCAACACCCTGTTGCATTTAATGATAAGTAAAATAATTCTGTATTTGTTTTATCCAGGGGCAGTGAACAGGTAAATATCATGCAATTGTTAGATTTTTGTTACTTATAAACTTCATTAAAGATGCACTTAATAGATTGGTCTAATAGACACGTCGTTAAAAGAATGAAGTACGAATTTATAGGCAGAAACTTCATAATGCACTACGGTTTGCTTCAAGAAAGAAACCATAAGAATGACCCTTTATGTTGCAATAAACAGACACATTCATCAATACGTGAACTATTAATATAGCTATCTTTATAAATCTGAGGCCAAAATATTCGAGATTAAATTTTAGGATTTCTTACATCCACATGTCCAGTCTACATCCATTTGCTTAGAGGTTAGTAGTTCGATTATTGTGTTAAGCAACTAAAATGAAAGATCCCGTGGCCACAGTCCGGCTTAGATGACTGGCATTTGTTACCAGGAGTACGCCTTGTGGGCCGCCATTTCTTCCGAGTTGACCGCTTGCCTGGCCGAGGTTTCTGCGATGTCCCTCTCGGCGTAGAGCTTGGCGAAGCTGCAATCGGGCCCTGGCGGCGAGTCAGGCAAACACAGCTTCATCCTGCCATCAACACATCGGTTTGTAAGAGACAAAATTCTATTAATTTTTTTAATTCGCTTAGTGGGGGATGAAGTCCAACTGGGTCCACTCGGCACGGCGGCCACTGATTCGCCTACTGTACCTGCCCCGGGTGATTATGGTGGAATGAAGATTGGCACGGAAAACCGAAGTACTCGGAGAAAACCTGCCCCAGCGCCACTTTGTCCACCACAAATCCCATTTGATCAGACCCGGGAGCGAACCCGGGCCGCCGCGGTGGGAAGCCAGCGACTAGCCGCTTGAGCTATGGCACGGCCTAAATTGTATTAACCGTGTTCTTCTTCTTACTCTTTCGACATTTACACTTTAATGTGGGGAAAAACTAAAGATTTTTATCATATATTAAAATTCGCAGTAGATCATAAACATCTGGAAAGTTTCGAAATGTGGTGTTGGAGAAGGATGGAGAAGATCAGTTGGACTGATTATGTGAGAAATGAAGAAATGTTAATTAGAGTCAGTGAGCAGAGGAATATCCTACACGAAATAAGAAAATGGAAGGCTAATTGGATTGGTCATGTTTTACGCAGAAACTGCCTTCTAAAAGAAGCTATCGAAGGAAAGATAGATGGGCGGATAGAAGTGACAAGAAGACGAGGAAGAAGACGTAAGAAGATGCTGGATGACCTTGGGGACAGAAGAGGTTACTGTCATTTGAAGGAGAAAGCTCTAGATCGCATTAAGTGGAGGAATTGTTTTGGAAGAGACTGTGGACCTGTCGTCTGACAGATTACTCATGATGATGATGATTAAAATCCTTTTGTAATGTGATGTCAGATGTATACCCCTCCATCTGATTTTTGGAGAAAATTCAAAACTGAAAAGGGAGGCAAATACACCAAATATTAATATTATTTTTGTTAATGTGGTGCCCTCTATGCTTCAGTACTGAGATGTAGGTCGAGGCGAAAAGCTGCATATCTGCTCTCTCCGGTGAACATTTCAAACCCCCCCAAAAATTGGAAACGAAAGACAAACCTATCGAATAGACCTACTAATACTAAAATATAGGACGTTCTGGGACGGACTATCACATTCTTTCCTTTGCTACGACACGGACCGCATAGAAAACGAAGAGTCCAACAATTGTTGCATGTGTATTTCTTGCCGTGGTAACGTTTTTACCGAGCCTAGTAACGATAAGGGTTCAAGTAAAAAGACGCAGACTGATGGGAGGAATTTATGGAGTATGTCGTTCAGACGGGCTCAGTTGCCATGGTATACATGCCAAGTTTCATAAATATTGGTTACGGCATTCAGAAGTTGATACACTGACACACAAACAGCAAGGTGATCTCGTAAGCCTCTTCTATTTTTTATAAAAATAAGGGAAATAGACTAAAATGATTTTATTAATTACTTTCCTTAATTTGAAAAAATAAATAAAAAGAGGCTTATGAGATCACCTTGCTGTCTGTTCATGTCCATTTATCTGTTTATCCCTCTTATTTTTTTACTTTTGCGAGATCAACTTGTTATCATTGTCACCCCGCTATCGTTACTAGGCAACAGACCGTCTGTGTGTCTGTGTGTCTCCTCTATTACTTTGTTTTATTTTCTGTGTGGTCTGTATGGTACAAAAAGAGAGCGGCAGTTCTTCCCACCTGTTATTAATTCTTCTTGCCCCCTGGATATTCTAGGACGATCAGTAAATTGGTTCTACAGAGCTTGAATGTAAGCCTGTGAGAAAATTATATGGCTGATCTGCACTGGAAGGGAAATCCTTTCGGCGCCCGAGTGCAAGAAAGAATTTACTCTTTATTTCCAACTATGAGGACGTTCTTGCCGGTGGTTAGGACAAAGGAGTTTTTAAAGTAAGAAAATCTGGGAAACGTCTTGCAGTTAGGCGCTTAGGCGTCGGAACACTGCCACCGTAACGTCTTCCCTGCGACAGGTGAGACGCTCTCTTGTCTCGACGCCACAACTAGCATCTGTCTTGCCTTTGCGTTTCCGGACTCTGGCGTCCCGACGGCTCAATACAGCCCCTTGTTCCGAACCATTTAACTGCAAGATTAACGACACCAGCAGTCAAACCTTTTGCCAAATATTCTGTAACCAAGTCTCCTTTCCCCAGCCCTTTATTACTGGAAACACATCTCAATAGCTGAAAGATCGTCTGTTGTCTGCTGATGAACTGTTGAAACTACAAGCTATAAGCTAATCATATAAAATAACAAATGTTAACACTTTCATTGCTACAAACGATATATATCGCTTTGAAACCGGCCCATCCTTTCAGTATATCTCTGGTATATAGCATCGTAAATTAAAGGTAGACCTGTCCTGACATCTCGTGAGGGTTTAACCTAACTATTTACAAGATAAGGTATTTGACCGCCTCTGTGGTCTAGTGGTCAGCTTTCCTGGCTACAGATCCAGAGGTCCGGGTTCGATTCCAGGCGCTACCAGATTTTTTCTGAGAAGTAGTGGGTCTGGAACGGGGTCCACTCAGCCTCGCGATGACAATTGAATAGATATTTCAAGGATATGCTGCGCTGACCACGTGACGCCCTCTCTGTAATTGTTGTAGTTGTTAATCGTATTTGGTTTGTATTCACTGTGGTAGGATGTCCTTATTGTTGTGTTTTGTGTATTGTGTTTTGTTTGAACGTGTTGTCACTTAGTGTAATGTGTGTTACTTGTCTGTTGTGTCCTATTGTGTACTACTGCCACCGGGCTAAAACCCAATTGCAGTATAATAAATAATATATATACCCTCAAGTTTGCACTAACTTCGCCGACAAGCGGCGGTCGCTCGGTCGCTTGCGGACTAAAATCACGGTTTTTTTATATTTACAGAATCAGGTATTACAACACCCTTAGGTGTGACGCCGTGTAGTTCGGTAGAATTCCACCTACATTTCGAGAGAGATGTCGAAATGTAAACAATATAAGCAACAAGCGAACAACAACAAATATAAGATTTCGGGATTGCTTCCAATGAAATAACGCTAGTACCAAGCTTCACGAAGATATCCAGCAGTACAACGCATGCAGTAACAGGAGCAAGAGCAGTACAACGCACGCAGTAACAGGAGCAAGAGCAGTACAACGCACGCAGTAACAGGAGCAAGAGCAGTACAACGCACGCAGTAACAGGAGCAAGAGCAGTACAACGCACGCAGTAACAGGAGCAAGAGCAGTACAACGCACGCAGTAACAGGAGCAAGAGCAGTACAACGCACGCAGTAACAGGAGCAAGAGCAGTACAACGCACGCAGTAACAGGAGCAAGAGCAGTACAACGCACGCAGTAACAGAAGCAGAACACAACACAGAACACGATACACAAATGTATGTAGGAAGAATGCTCACATAAAAGGGGACTGGCGTAATTGGCGTGTTTGAGTGCGACGTAGGATGAATCCTGAAAAGTTTTATTATTTAGAATTAATCGTCCTGTATGACGAATACAGATTTTAGTCATTTTAGAATGAAGACATCATGGCATGCAGTACAATAGTTTAACGTGCATAAAGACACCTGAGGATGGCACATTAGTGCTGAAACATGTAGTGTGGAAGTGAAGAATAAGGTGAATAAGTGTATACACTGTAAGACGGTTAGCATAAACCATGCACATGAATCAGTGTAACAGGACGCTAAAATATAACATTTTTCATGAAGATTGTTGTAATGATTCAGAAGTTCATATGTTGGGTATAGAACATGACGGAGTGATCAGAAATGTCTACGTTTCTTCCTAAAGGGAAGAATTCCGATATTCATGTACCCAGACCGTGCGCATGCGCCAGTATGCAGTACATAAGGCATGTATAACTTGTGTACTGCTATTCATACGCGTTTCTTATTCCTGTTCCTCAGCAAGCGCGGCTCCGTGAAGGCACAAGATAACAATTTCAAGTATCCATTGGACACACACAACACAGGTTGCGCACCACAGACAGTCTTCATGCTGTGGAGAAGCGAAAATGTCTTGCTTCTACCTGGACTCGAACCTCACCTGTCCATTCCGCAGTTAATGAAGATAGGACCGTATTGGGGACACTGCTGTGTATACTGAAGTTATTTAATTGTACAGTTAAATTTATTGGGACACGCGGTAACATGGCTGGTTGGGGCATCATGCTACAAGCCGGAAATTCGCGGGTTCGATTCCCGATGAGGTTCAGTTTACCTAATCCTTCCAGGCGCACTATGACCCTGAGGTCGACTCAGCCTCTAACAGAAATGAGTACCAGGAATCTTCCTGGGGTGTAAAGTACGGCCGGTGGGTAAGGCTGATAACCTCACCGCTATCTGTGAGCCGATTGTCTACAAATGTGGGAGCCTCGACGTCTCACAACCTTACAAGCCTCGACGGTCTGTTACAGGGAGAGCTTTATAGTTTGTATAGCCTAAACGTATTCACACATCACTTACTAAATTTTTTACAGAACAATTAGGCTTATTTTGGACTCTATCCATTGTCTGGTATATAGAAGACAAAAGAAAACACAACGTTTCGGAGACTGGATCTGTCTCCGTCCTCAGGTGGACGGGGCAGGATAAACATACTCAGTTGCGCCCGTTTGAAAGAGCGATTCTCAATCACTGGACCTAACGGGCCCAGCTGAGTATGTTTATCCTGTCCCATCCACCTGAGAACAGAGAGAGATCCAGTCTCCGAAACGTTGTGTTTTTTGTCTTCTCTATACCAGACGATGGACAGAGTCCAAAATAGGTCTAATTGTTCTGTACAACATACACCAACGTCAGAATTCTTTCAAGTTTACTAAATTTTAGTTTACAAATCAATAATTAAAATCAAGTAGCTTAAGTGCAAAATATTGAGGTGATGTTCTGCCTTACCGATGACACCGAGAAGGCGTAGGGTCTGGTCCAACTGTGGAAGACGATGAACTCACTCCGGAAGTGCCAGGTATGTCTCCATTATCCGTCAGGACGGAAGATGGCACACACCCTGCTGTCGATGATTTGGGCGGTTTTCGTCTGCGAGGTTGGTACTGAAAACGCAGTAGAGTTTAGTTTGGTAGACAACATCGGAAGCCGGGGGGAGCATTACGGGACACAGTTTTTTTTTCTCTCAGTAATTTCTTAATTTAAAATAAGAACGAAAACAGTTAACAATATTTACTTAGCGAAGTTTATGCTCTTTAACATGCATAAAGGTAAAGACAAAATTGTCCCCGGTAAAGGTATCCTTTTAACAGGCCGTGGAGGCCCATAGGGTTATGAGATGTAGAGACCTCACATTTTTTAGACAATCGGCTCACAGATGGCGGTGAGGTTGTCAACCTTACGCAACGGCCGCCCTTTACCCCAAAGAATATTCCTGGTACTCATTTCTGTTAGAGGCTAAGTCGGCCCCAGAGCCATAGTGCGGCTGGAAGGATTAGATCAATTGAAGAATCAAATGAAGTCACTGGGAATCGAACCTGCGACCTCTGCCTAACTAATTAAACACTACTCCATGAAGACGTATGAGGGAGTGGTGATACAGCTCCATGGACTCGACAATGGATGGAGATGAAACAGATGGGGAAACAGCTCACGGCACCCACTGTACAGGAGGGTTGGTGAACCCGAGAACCAGTTTGCCTGCGGCGTATAGACCCGTTGTATAATTGGTGACTCTGAGAACAGCAGCCGTTGTTTGGTAACGACCGCTAAACACGTCAGCAATAGCCGGGCTATCGCTAGGCAACTGCTCGGTAAACGGGTTCCCGCGCCAACAAATACGCATGCCACGGTCGAGGTATTGTTGAACTATAACAGTGGAAACGGTGTTTTCTATGTGGTTCTTGCCGAAATGTTATAAGCAGGGTCAGTCGAGTTCCGGAGTTGAGAGTTGGCAGTGCAAGTTCGGCAAGCGAGCCTAAGAAGGACCGTCAGAAGAATTCTGTGCGGGCGGCATGAGGGCGGGAAGCTGAAGGAACTCTACTGTTAGAACCCGTTGCTAGGGAACGGCTGTCGATACTGCAGGCTGGGGACGACTTAGTGTTAGAAGCAGTGATTTGTAAAGTTGTAGCTCCGAGTGGTGTGAATAAGTGATCAATAAATCAATTCACCAATCTACACCCCGTCTATAGTTACACTGCTAAAATCGTGACCGTAACATGATCCTATCAAGAATCGAAACCCGGACGTCCAGCCTCTAGTCCATCGCTATACCGACTGAGCTAACCCGGTACCGTAATTTAAAATTCAAAGAGAGACTCCAGCTTTTGAGAGTTGACAAGATTTCTGCACGGGCGGATGTGACGAGAGGGCCTCAGCGTGGGGAGCTGAAGAATCTCGTGGAACACGAGATCTCTTCGGTACGGTAACTTGATCGAGGCGTGACGTGCCCTCAGAGAATTTCTGTGCCCATTGCTTGTGTTAACCACGAAATGTAGGCCAGTTTGCGAGCCCTTAGCAGTCCCTCACCTTGTAGTCGGGGTGATCTTTCTTGTGAGCACTGCGCAGTCGCTCTGCCTCCTCTATGAATGGCTGTTTCTCCTCTTCACTCAGTATCCTGGAACAAAGTAACGTTATGAAGCCAGTGCTTATGAATGACGTATATTTCCGTCCAAGAAACACTCAGTTGGGCGAAGCACATATATGTACATACATGTTCATAAACGCTGCTTGCAGAAGTGCGCACGCGCATTTATTTCTTTCCAAAGTCGAGCTGTAAATGTAAAAAAAAAAAATGGCGAAGCTATCCCTGTAACTCGTCTGCTTACTAAAAACTTAAAAATCAGAATTTACAAACTATAATTTTGCCTGTGGTTCTGTATGGGTGTGAAACTTGGTCTCTGACATTAAGAGAGGAACATAGACTGAGGTTCTTTGAGAACAGGGTGTTGAGGAGAATATTTGGACCGAAGAGAGATGAAGTGACAGGAGGTTGGAGAAAACTGCATAATGAGGAGCTTCATAACTTGTACTCTTCACCAACTATAATTAGAATGATCAAGTCAAGGAGGATGAGATGAGCAGGGCATGTAGCACGAATGGGGGAGACGAGGAATGCGTATAGGATAATGGTGGGAAAGCCAGAAGGAAAGAGACCACTGGGAAGACCAAGGCGTACGTGGGTCGACAATATTAAAATGGATCTTACAGAGACAGGATGGGTCGTTATGGACTGGTTTGATCTGGCTCAGGATAAGGACCAGTGGAGGGCTCTTGTGAACAGGGCAATGAACCTTCGGGTTCCATAAAATGCTGGGAAGTTCTTGAGTAGCTGCACAACTGGCGGCTTCTCAAGAAGGGCTCAGCTCCATGGAGTTATTTATCCTTGTAACAGGCCTGGAGGCCCAGAGGTTTGTGAGACGTCGAGGCTCCCACATTTTCTAGACAATCTGCTCATAGATGGCGGTAAGGTTCTCAGCCTTACGCGCGGGCCGCCCTTTACTCCTCTGGAAGATTCCTGGTACTCCTTTCTGTTAGAGGCTGAGTCGACCCCAGGGCCATAGTGAGACTGGAAGGGTTAGGTTAATTGAAAAAGTCCATTGATCCCTATGGGAACGAGTCTGCGAGATTCCGGCTTGTAACGTAGTCTATGTTAGGCTGTATACAATAAAACTACCGCACGAAACAGAGCCCTTCGGTGAGAAGCTAACAGTCGCTCAGCTACTCAAGAAAGACTGCTTCATTACCGTGCTCAGGGCAGCCCTACACTGCACACTCTATATTCTGCGATGTGGCGCCAGTAAGTTGAAAGCCAACCGACGTTTCGGGGAAACATGTCGCCTTCATTCACGAAGAAGACCAGCAAGCAACCAGCATACTTCGATCATGAAGATGGAGGAAACATGTTCCTAGACCGCGCCATAGCTCAAGCGGTTAGTCGCTGGCTTCCCACCGCGGCGGCCCGGGTTCGATCCCGGGGTCTGGTCAAGTGGGATTTGTGGTGGACAAAGTGGCGCTGGGGCAGGTTTTCTCCGAGTACTTCAGTTTCCCCTGTCAATCTTCATTCCACCAATTGCTCCACAATCACCCTCACCCATCATCTGGGGCTGGTACAATAGGCCAGAAGTGGCCGCAGTACAAGGGACTTAGTCCCACCCCACTAGCAATAAAAAAAATATGTTCTTCCGAAACATCAGTTGACTTTCAAAGAACTTAACACGGCGCTATATCAAAACGCAACTTAATGTTGGGCTGAGAAAGTTGTATACTTCCAAGTGCACTGGACCGAACTAAATTATCCTTCTGCTTTGTGTATGCAAATAGTTTACATATATAAAAAGGAGTGTCCGGCTATTAATGAAAAGTTAAAAACAAAATTCAACTTTGAAAGTAATGTGGATCGTTTAAGCTATCTTATAAAAGAGGAATGGCTAAACATAATTGCTGTAACATGTGCAGTGTTTTGAAAACATCAAATGAGAAGGGGCAAAAGGAGAGGAAAGGAAGAAGAAGAAGAAGAAGAAGAAAAAGTTTGGTTTATTTGAGAAATGGCTGCATCCTGTCAAGTGGCAGACAGATAGAAGTAACACAAACATACACATTTTTAATGGCTTTACCTTCTGCGAAAACTAAAAGACATGGCCTGCAAGTCAATAATCGAAACGCATTTCTAAGCCAGTCGCTCTTGCCTTCTGCCCGATTTGTTCTTTTTAACTCCATTCTCTGTGAGTGTGCGCGCATTTTTATTTCCAGTTTCCTTGAAATATACAGAGCCGCCCCCTCTATTACTGTACAAGAACTTTAATCTCTAACAGACATGGCCCCCCACCCTCCTGCTCCTAAAACTCCCACGTGATTTTAAAATTTCTTATAAAATGATCAAAAATGTTCTTCTTTCCTTTCGTCTCCTCTGTCAAGGAGAGTGAGGTGGGCAGGGCATGTAGCACGAATGGGGGAGAAGACGAATGCATATAGGATATTGGTGGGAAAACCAGAAGGAAAGAGACCACTGGGAAGACCAAGGCGTAGGTGGGTGGACAATATTAAAATGGATCTTAAAGAAATTGGATGAGATGGATTGAATTGATCTGGCTCAGGATATGGTCCAGTGGAGGGCTCTTGTGAATACGGTAATGAACCTTCAGGTTCCATAAAATGCTGGTAAGTTCTTGAGTAGCTGCAGAATTGGCTTCTCCTCAAGAAGGGCTCAGCTCCCTAAGTAGGCGCGCCTTGTATACCCGCTGTACCTGTCTGTCCCACCTGGGAGCAAGCGATGGCCGCTCAGCTCTTGAAATCGCAGCGCCTGTAGTACACACTACCCCGCGCTACTGGAAAACTTGACAGGTGAACACACCGGTTCGCGAGTTGCACGTGACTTTCAAAACAACTTACATGTACGGCCATGTAACTGAATTATGCAGGACAGACAGAAGCAAACCTAAACCATATAAATCCATATATACGTGGCACTGGACAAGAAGCCAGGTGTAGGAAGTACAGGAGATTTGAACTTGCTGGCGGTCAGGCCTAAACCCTTCAGCTGTTAACTGCAGCTCCAGAGTAGTTACACAAGCTCTGTATATCTCATAGTAAGCACAGGGCCCACAGTGCGGATATACTCGTGCTGAAACTGAGGTGCAACAAACGTAGGGCTCCTTCGTCGAGGAAGCCCCATTTCGTAACACGTACACGTCTAGGAGAGAATAAAATTCTTGGTCATGGGTGCCGAGGAGACTCAAGAAAGAAATGACTGTGCTGGCGAGGACCAGACCGACCGTCAGTTAATTATTCGTGAGTTGCTGTGGCTGAGGACGGGGACAGTCCGGAAACCCAGAGGAACGGGAAAGTCGATCGTTGGAAGCCGTTACCAGACAACGACTGGTGAAGACAGAGCAGGCTATAAAATATTTAGTACGTGCTGTAGTAAACTGTAAATTGCGTGAATTAGCAATAGTGCTATAGTTACCTGTAGTTATGAATTGTGAGTATATGTGTTCAATAAATCCAATTACCAGTCTATAGTCACTCAATCACGTGATAATATGTTATTTATTTTTGTAGGTTACTTTACGACGCTGTGAGTACACAGACTGCATAGCGTAAAATGGTACGATGATGATGAATGGTGAAGTAAAAGGATCTGTAAGGAAACGGTACTGGCCAAATCTACATTTGCCTTGAACTGAGGACGACCAAGAAATTCGCTACCAGGGAGTCAGTTAATTAGTAAGATGGATCTCAGGGAAATAGGCTGTGAGGATGGGAGGTGGATGGAACTGGCTCAGGATCGTGTCCAGTGGCGGGCTTTGGTATTAGAAGTGTTGAACCTTCGGGTTCTGCTACCAGAGAATTAGTTAATTAGTAAGCGGCCTCCGTAGTCTAGAGGTAACGTTCCCACCTCATGACTCGTAGTACGCGGGTTCAAATACCCGGCGGAGGTCGTCGAATTTTTAAGGGCGGAAAATTTCAGGGAACAAGTCCTCCGGGAGGGACTTTAAGCCGTGGGTCCCGTGTCGTAGCTTTACGGCACGTAAAAGAACATCATATCTCCAAAGGAGGTCACTGAGCCAAATTAACGGACGTTTCCCGCCCAACAGCAGTCACTAATACCTCTGGTAGATGGGGGAAGCATTATAGATACCTCTCAGCTAGTAGAGCCGGTCTCGCTGGCTGGGCGGGACTGATGGTAAGCACCAGTACCGGTAGGATATAGAGACTGGTAGAAATCATAGAGGGAAGCACACTGGACCAATACAGGTCTAAGTGCATGGGGAAACCCACCCTCTCCAATAACTAACTAACTAACTAGTTAATTAGTAAGATGGATCTTAGGGAAATTGGCTGTGAGGATGGGAGGTGGATGGAACTGGCTCAGGATCGTGTCCAGCGGCGGGCCTTGGTATTAGCGGTGTTGAACCTTCGGGTTCTGCTGCCAGAGAGTGAGTTAATTAGTAAGATGGATCTCAGGGAAATGGGCTGTGAGGATGGGAGGTGGATGGAACTGGCTCAGGATCGTGTCCAGTGGCGGGCTTTGGTATTAGCGGGGTTGAACCTTCGCATTCTGCTACCAGAGAGTGAGTCGGCTATATGCAAAATGATATGAAGTTGTTTCGCTTTTGCGCGGTTTGCGTTGGCACGGGACTGGTCCCCAAATCACAGCAATTATCTGTTTTCCGTGTTGTTTATTGAGCTTTGTTACTCGCCGGCATCTGTCTGTAGCCGGCCATGATTTAGTGGCAAGTCGAAATCAAAGAACAGCCGACAGTCAAAACGTTTACAGTTGCCTACCTATATACAGCACAAGTTTACGGCTCCGAGGCGCTAACTGCAACCGCCTTGACAAGTGAAACCTCATCTGGAAACGTCCTATTAAAAATACACACCTTCGGATATGACTAATTCTGGTATTTCAGAGAATTTATACGTGAAGTGAGCATCATGTCAAAACGAAATTTGTATCGCTGGCCCTGCCAGACCTCATGCCGTTAGTTGCCGGCTTTCCACAGCGGCGGTCCAGGCTCGTTCCCAGGTCAAGTTAGGTGGGATTTGTGGACCAGGTTTTCTCCGACTATTCTGTCTTACGATTTCGTAGTTTTCCCCAGTTACTTTAGCCAGACGCCTGGTTAGGTCACCACCGTTTCCTTCCGAATCCTTCCCAATTCATGAGTGATAGTAACATTTGAGGCCGTGGCATATCTCAGGCTGCTACTCATCGACTTCCAACTCCTGCAGCCTCAGTTCGATCCCAGGTTGGGTCATGTGGGACTTGTGGCGGAGAAAGTGACAGTGGGGCAGGTTTTCTCCGTGTACTTCGGTTTCCCCTGCCAATTCTCGTTCATCCGACTGCTCCACACTCATTAATCACTCTTTCATGTGAGTAAATATATCGTCGTTAAATAAGCAGCTTAAAACAGATATGAGTTGGATTTGAGAACGGAGGTCAGGGTTCAGTCCTCACCTGTTATTCTTTACTTGCAGGGCGCATCGCGGCCCGAACCCTTTGCGTGTGTTACCTGACCTGCCGTCAGTACTTAGGCTTATATTACACAATTTTAATCCGTGCGGTAAGACTGAGTACACTCGATAGGCAGGTCTCTGGTGGGCCCAATGTACCAGCCCCAATGTCACTTTCTCCGCCGCAAGTCCCACATGACCTGACCTGGGATCGAACTGAGGCTGCAGCAGTTGGAAGCCGATGACTAACACCCTGAGCTACGTCATATAGCTTAGATGATATATCGTCATTAAATGCCCCGTAAAGAAACTTAAACTCGGCACAAGATGGATATGAGTGGTGAGCTTCACGCCCCAACCGCCTTAACTTCAGGGAAATAAGCTTCAGTATCCATTGAATAGGATTCTGGGTGGACCCTAGTGCCTGTATGAACGTTCCAGAGAAGAGAGAAATCTCTTTCCCTTGCCTGGGATCGAACCCCGGTCGTCCAGCCCCGTGATCGTCGCTATATCGACTGGGCTATCCCGGATCAAAAAGAAAAATGCGATATTCTTCACAAACAAATAAATAAAATTAACATAAACCAAAATAGTTTTGCCAGGTACATCGGGGCACGCAGTAGCGTAGTTGGCTAAGACACTACGCTACACACCGGAAGGTCGCGGGATCGAATCCCGATGAGGTCATTGGATTTTTCAATTTACCTAATATTTCCAGTCTCACTATGGCCCTGGGGTCGACTCAGCCTCTAACAGAAATGAGTACCAGGAATCTTCCTGGGGGTAAAGGGCGACCGGCGCGTAAGGCTGACTTTACCGACATCTGTGAGCCGATTGCGTAGAAAATGGGGAGCCTCGACGTCTCACAGCCCTATGGGCCCCCACGGCCTCACAGGGACAGCTTTACGTAGTGACTGAGGGCCGCAAGATCCAACAAAGACAACGGTGAACATTCCGAAACTGACTCCTTCACACAGGAACATTAAAGTTTAACAAAAAATTCCCCGTAATCTGAAATGTATTTGCAATGCAAATGAAAAGCAACATAAACCGTGTACTAATGGAAAGAAGTGACGCACGCCTTCCCGTCCACACTGGAGCTGTAAGCGCGCATGTTTGATTTACTAATTGGTTGCCAAAAGCGTCAGTCATTAACGTTGATGTCAGGAACTCACAGCTTGTTTCTAATTAGTAACAGGATGGTCCAATGACACGAGGAGGGGTTTCGAAGATAAATTTGACCCTGTACTTAATTAAGCCCAACGCCATGAAAAAGTATCTGTGCTTAATTAAACACCACGTCATAAAAACATGTGGAGGAGTGGAGGTAGAGCTCCACATATTTCTAACTTCAGCGGGAGTTAGAGGTCAGTATTCAACTTAACGACCCTGTTGCTTCGCTTCCGGGGAAACATGTGGAGGTAGAGCTCCACATATTTCTAACTTCAGCGGGAGTTAGAGGTCAGTATTCAACTTAACGACCCTGTTGCTTCGCTTCCGGGGAAACATGTGGAGGTAGAGCTCCACATATTTCTAACTTCAGCGGGAGTTAGAGGTCAGTATTCGACTTAACGACACTGTCGCTTCGCTTCCGGGGAAAGAGACGGCGTTATGCGTTACACAGACGGGATTCAAATCACAGCGGTACGCAAGTATCTTCTGCGATATAACGCCGTGTAGTCAGTTGTAAGTTATTCGACGTTTCGGAGGAACATGTCGCCTCCATCTTCAGGGTTGAAGAACAAGCAAAGCAAGAAAGCAGCGCTGGTTTCTTGCTATGCTTTTTCTTCTACCATGAAACTGCAGGCGATATTTACCTCCGAAACGTCGGTTGACTTACAATGGACTACACGGAGTTATACACTTCACGACTACCGCTGCGAGAACCTCAAATCCGTTATGTGAAGGAATGGGTCGTGGCCTAATTTGAAGTACAGTAAACCATTGTTAATCTGGTTACTGTTAATCCGGATGTCGGATAATCCGGATCGAAATATGAAAACTGGAAAAATCTGTTCACAGGTGAGTACATACTTTAAAAGACACGTGGGATTTAGGAGCAAGAGAACTTTCAGACTGTGTTGAGGGCAGCTGGAGAGACTGAAACCGCGCAAGGAAATATCCAAGATTGGCTTGAGCTGGCTGAAGGAGAACCTGGATTTCAGTTTCTGATAAGAAGAAATTTTTGCAGTGATATTTTTTATTTATTTTCATCGGCATTGCCTGCAGTATTAAAATTTCCGTTTATTTTTCTATTTTTTTTTTTTTGTCTTTTAGAACTAAATTTGCTTTATTAATCCGGATTGTCGGTTAATCTCGATGACCTCTCCCCCCCGCCCAATTACTCCGGATTAGAGAGGGTTTTCTGAAATATCGCGGAATATGACTGAAGGGATTACGGAGAACCCATGAAAACTTTTGATAGCATCTAGCAGGGCCGAAGTTTCAACCCGGGACTTTCCGAATACAAAGCACAAAGCAGAGTTGAAAACTCGACTGTGTCGCAGGTTGGGTTTATTACAAACAAGCTTTTGTATGAAATTAGTAACCAGTACTTATTCATATCAATAACTGATCAACAAATACAAGCCTATACCACCAATTCTTAAAGGTTCGCAGTGTCAAATTGAGCAATCCATGAAGACCTCTGGGAGGATGTTGATAATACCCACATTATTGCAAACAAACTTCATATTTCTCTTGAAACCCTCCAACGTCAATAAATTCATATGCATAAATTTTAAACTGATGAAATAATCTCAAAGTAGAAACAATTTCTTTTAACTCTTACTAACGGAAGTTCCCCTTTTTTCAACGGCGTTACTATGTTTCATATTGCAGAGTTTGTTTATGTGGAAAGCACTTCTGTATCGGATCCCTTGTGTTTCGCCACCCAAAATAGTCATCATTCTCACAATTATACCAGTGAAGTTCTACTTTTCACACCGGAAGTTCCGTTTGGCTTTCGCCGCTTGTACCGGTCACCTCGACAAGAGTCGCAGTGTGAAGAGGTACAGTCTGTCTGAAACATCTTGGAGGGCACGTCACACGTTCAGTAGCCAACCTTACGGAAGGAAAGTCCCTGTCTCTTCAACAAGATCTCCGGTATGGGGATTCTGGTTTCCATCCTGTTGTAACATGTATGGGTGACTTATAGGACGGGGTTTAGTTTTGGATGATTGGATTTATTACACCTTATACATTCACAACTCCGGACTACATGCAATGCAGCACTATAGCTGATCTACACACTTTACAGTTCACCGTCACACACGCATTAGGGTTCTCAGTCTTCACTAGTCGTATCCTAGCAACGGATTTACAACAGTCTCACTGTCACTCTAAATCACACATAAAGACTTATCTGCACAGCCTAATCACTTTCTTGCCTTTATTCTGCAACTAACAACTCGGAAGGCTCGACTCAGTTCAACTCCAGGCGTATATCTCAACAGGCTGGCCTTTCGAAGAAGAAGCTCTATTGAACTCTTCTTTATAAGCATTTTGCACGGACTCCATGGAAAACACCATCTTCCATTGTCCCTTATTGCTTTAGGCGTGTTTACCGCACCATTGTAAACAACGGTCGCGGCGCGAATTACATAGAAAACAATCTCTCTATTGCCGAGGCGTATTTACCGCGGGCACGTGTTTGCCGTGTCGTTGCCTAGCAGTGGGTATACGCGTCCAGTATGTTGAAAATAGAATTCAATGGTTTTCTGCTTATGATATTATTATCTACGTTACTATCTGATAAAAACGCTTTCTCAAATATATTTTAGACAGAGTACAATGCCCGTATTTGCAATCAATATTAATTATGGAAATATTATTTTAGTTACGACTAGAAATGAGAAACTTCTTCTTCCTTGTTCACCCGACAAGCATGATGTGACTTTTGGCTATCGCCGAAGACAAGAGATTTGGGAGAACGAAATTGCCATGAGCGTACAGTTAGGGATGATTTCGAGTTGGTCACATTGGAGCAAAACATACAGAACAACAGAGAAAGGAGCACAGGGCTCAGTGATATGAATGTTTTTGACAGTGAGTGTCCTCAGGTTCTGTCAAACGGCATGGCAGTGACAGGAAGTTTCTTTGGCGTGTTCTCAATAACGCGTTTGCAACAATAGGAGTCTCTGGATTGTTTTCATTGTTATTGTATATTTATGAGGGAGTGCCCTGAGGGCTGAGTAAAGGCACAGTTCTGACGCAGTGGAGGCTGCTGTAATGTGTTTCCTGTGAGGTACGAACTGAATTCATATATATGATTTTGAAGGAACTCAGTCCTTCTCTCTCTTCAATGCCCGGAGTGCTAACTAAGTAAAGGCACAGTTCTGACGTAGTGAAGGCTGCTTACCTCCAGAGTTTGCCCAGCGTCTTGCTGAGCTCGGCGTTATGCAGCTGCGGGTACTGGTCGGCCAGTTTCCTCCTCGCCGCCTGCGCCCACACCATGAAGGCGTTCATGGGTCGCTTGATGTGCTGTTTTCGCTTCGCTGTCGATTTCTGCGTTACCGGAAGTAACGTCCAGTCATAACCTGTGAGAATAAAATAGTTCCTGTTACTTATTATCAGAGCCCGGATTTTGATGACCTGAAAATATTTAAAAAATGACCTATAAATGACCGGAAAAATCCAGAAAAATGACCTAAAGGAGAAAAGAAAGAACACTTCGCTTACACGTTATTCATATTTCAGAAAACATATGAAGAAAAATTCCCTAAAATGGCCAAAAACGACAAGAAATACCCTTAAAAGTCCAAAAATTTACCAAAAAATGACCTTAAACCTAATAATGTCAAAAAATGACAAAAAATACGTATAAAATTTACATTTCTGTAACCAGAAGCTCATATCCGAGATTTATATATTTAAAAACATCGCATAGGATACGAGGAAGAAAAGATGACATGTCATCAAAATCCGGCCCTGCTTATTATAAACCACATACGTCTAAACTGGGATAGTACCTCGATCCCTTCCTAATCCTTATCAATTCACCATCCTACCATTCGATCACCTGTAGTCCGGTTATTGGCAGTCATTAATTCACTACAAAGACCAACCGGTTAATGCTGTTTAGGGAAACAGTCGCTGTTTACTGTGAGAACCATACGGAACACACAGATACAAGTCAAAGTCAAAGTCACATTGCGATTGACGGTCAGTCAGTCTGTCTGTCTTGGTGTCGAGCCCCGACTGGGGCTCATGATCAGATTTCTTTTTCGTTAATGAAAGTTACTGTCCTGTTCATTTGGGGCGCCCTCTCTGACGAGAGGTCGGGTCTGTCATTTTTCAGTCATAGTCTGTGTTAGTAAGTCCATTGTCAGTAGTTACATATATTTACAATCTAAACTTAATTCCTATTCCTATGTACAATATATACAAGGCCTCTGTCAATCCAGGCTTGGTACAGCAGATTATGCCCTATTTCTACTAGTATTCGCTACCACAGTAGCCTAGTCACTTGAACGGTAGTATGCCTGATCGCCGCCAAGTTTAAGCCTCTTATACTTTCTGTGTCTGGCTTCGCCTTGTCCGATGTTGCGAACATTCTCATTATCATGATTTTGTATGACTTCTGCTTGTTGCCTGCATAATTTTGTTATAAAGTCATATACGTACGGGATTTTAAATGCCATGTGCAATTCGCGGACCAGTGTGCGTCTTGGAAAATTGCCAGTGGTGCGGAGAATCTTGTTTTGCAGGCGCTGCAATTTCACTAGATGAGTGTCTGCCGTAAACTCCCAGGCGGGACTAGCATAAGTCATTACAGATCTAATGAGAGCTTTGTGGAGGGTCATTTTAATGTTAGCGCTCAATCGCTCACTTTTGAATAGGGAATACACCCTAATGAATGTTCTGAAGTACTTGGCTTCGGTCATTTCTATGTGTAATCTCCATGTAACTCTCTTATCGAAGATTACATCTAGATATTTTGCACTATTTACAAATGGAACATTTGGTCTCTTTAAAGTGAGACAAGACTCAGGCGGTCGACGACTACGAGAGAAGTAGACCCCCTGACTCTTATCTTCATTAATTTTAATATTCCAGCGCTCACACCAGGTCTCCATTGAGCTGAGACCGCGCTGGAGTTTTCTAACAATAAAACCCTCCTCCCCCTCGTTGGTGGCTCCACCTAATCGTGGTGAGGGGGTTTGAGTATGCCAATGACCCTGAGAGCTATACCAGCGGTAGCGTAGCTACTGGCAGCCCTTGCTGGACAGGTCAAAGGGTAGGCATCAGACGAAGAGAGACACCAAAAACTGATGCCGGAAGCAGCGTCATCAGCAGCGACTTGAAGCACAGAGTAAATAATGCTCGAGATGGTTCAAGTTCGTATAGCAACAGGCGTGACCAGAGTGGTTTGAACGGCTGTTGTACTGCGATGTGGAAAGCAAATGGAAAAACTACCACATTATCACTTTTCCTGGATAGTCTCTTTCCAAAACCAGAGATACCATGTATGCGAGATATTTCATTTGAAGGAGAAAGCTCTAGATCGCATCAAGTGGAGGAACTGTTTTGGAAGAGACTGTGGACCTGTCGTCTTGACAGATTACTGATGAATGAATGAA